CAACGTTTGCCGGGTCAGCTAGTTGTATATAAAATCATATGATTAACCACATGTGATTGTGATTTTATTCCATTTTTTTTTCTAAGCACTAAACTAACAGATCCATCAGCTATAAGTTATACCATGCAAGTTATTTCTGTAAGTTTTATTTTAGAAAGGGCTATAGTGAGTGTTAATTGCTTCATATGTAATCGATACAAATGCATACAATGAGATATTACCATAACTGATTAATACATTGTTTTTACCATTCACTGTAATTAAGTACATATAGGCATGTGTGCATGCGAGTAGCGGTAAGATGCGAATAATCGATACATATTACTTTTGTATCGATTATAAATCATGCAGCATATCTGCACGATCGATAAACTTTCACGATACATATTGATTTAATGCTCTTGTAGTAGATCTGGTTAATAATCGGTCTGCTCCTATCCTAAACAGAACTCGCTGTATAGTACTTAGTGTGCTTGCCTATTTTCAGTAACTGCTAGTTACTAGTTAATGAAAAATGCCTTAATGTATTCAGAATTCAAAGTGACACTAATGAATTTCATTGAAGATTTTCGGTACTTACTGCTAGAAAATTAGAAAGTCACTAAAACTGTCTTTCAATTGGCATCCATTGCAAACACCATGATAACAATGACTTAATATTCTTTACATTTTGTGAGCTTGGCTCGTCGTTTTATCTAAGTTTTAAGTATATAAATATTTTAAAGCTAGTATATTTTCAGAAAATTACTACTGAAATCGTAACGAAAGAAAACAGTATGTAAGTATAAGTTTCTTAGAATGTTTTTCAACAGGATTATTCAAATTGTTTTAGCTTCCTAATTCAAATGGAAGAAACAGTAATGTAGAGTCGCGATGAAGTGGCTAAGAGTTCAAATCGCAACCCACCGACGCACGTGAACTCAACTTACTTGGCGGAGTTAACAATAGTACCTAATGTGTGACTCACATTACCAGTACTCTTTAAAAAAAAGGTTTTTGTACTCCTTATCAGATGGGTAGGCACGGAGCTTCAATTTGAAAATAAATTCATACATTACACGATTAGAGCCCGTGGTGCGTGAAATCACTGTAATGTAGTTCGGCATGGTGATGTTAACAGAGTTGCGCATGAATCACCGTAAACCATAACCGTATACACCAACAATAAATCGTACAAGATATATAGATAGATAAATACTTTATTTGTACACCAGGGTTTTACAGACATTATAAAGTAATTAACAACAGATGTAATGTACAAAGGGCAGCCTTATCGCTTAGTGCAATTTCATCCAGGCAACTTTTGGATGGACTGGATTCATTTTGAACTGGTAATAGGTATACAGAAATAAGAGACTTAACCTATGAAATATTGATTATACATAAATCCTACTAATCTACATTTATACATAAATACTATACATACATACGTTAATTTTCAACTATTAGAGACAGATAATGCTCATATAGCATAGTCTTGAAGGTGGTTACGGATTGCGCATGTCTGATAGTATCCGGCAAGGCATTCCATAAACGTACAGCTTCCTACGGAAAATGATTTTGTGTAGAAATTGGTAGAATGCCTTGGTATTTCCAATCTCAGGCTTTCAGAGGACCTCAGACATTTCATATGTGTGTCATGAAGGAACTTAAAGCGTTCTTCGAGATAAATAGGAGTTAATGGATTAAACAGAATATTATACAGAAGCGTAAGGATATGAGTATTCCGGCGAAGGCGGATTGGAAACCACTTGAGCTTTTTACGGTAGTGGAAAACATGATCATATTTGCGAAGTCCAAATATGAATCGTATGCAAAAATATTGGAGACGTTCAAGTTTATCAAGATGTGCTTCGGAGAGATCGAGATAGTCAAGAATCTGAAGAAGGAAAGGAAAGTTTCGTAACCTTCGCAAAGATCCCGCTGCAGCGAAGACTTTGCGGCTCACCTAATGAATCTGAGGTCCTCATGATAAGGTGCTATCGATTATAACTCCCAAGTTTTTGACTTTGCTGCTGATCGGTATGATGGTTTTGTTAAATTAAACCGGGGGCAAATGTGAACAATTAATTTTAGCAGACATTATGGGACTCCGAATGATGCATACCTGTGATTTAGTAGGATTAATTTTCAGTCCATAATCGTTACTCCAAGCACTTTTGTTTTTTTTTGGTATAAGGTGGCAAATGAGCTGACGGGTCACCTGATGGTAAGCAACTACCGCCGCCCATGGGCACCTGCAACTCATAAGTCACAAGTGCGTTGCTGCCCTTGGAATCCCTACCGCTCGAATCAGCGGGAGGGGGGATTTGGACTCCGGTAACTCACTCAGTGAAAGGCAACGAAAGAATTGCTTAACACCGGTTTTCTGTGAGGCCGTGGTATCACTCCGGTTGAGCCGGCCCATTTTGATATATCCATTCATCCATCCATAGATCTGAATTAATAATATTAAGCGCAGTTGATAACATACTGACAGGTGCATGGGTGTATATCTGCAAATCATCAGCATACAGGTAGTAGGATAAAAGTAAATGATTGAAAATAGAATTCATAAAAATTGCGAAGAGTAATGGAGATAGAAGGCCACCCTGTAGGACACCGACAGTTGCATTACACCATGAAGAGAGGGAGTCTTCAAGTCGAATGCGATGCTAACGCCCAAACAGGTAATTGTGGACTTAAATCGGTTAAGGGAATATTTTTTGTTTTTTAAAAGACCACTCCCACATTAGGAATATATTCTGTGTCGCGGGGGACTTTACAAACACACATGAAACGGACACAAAGAACACCCAGACTCAGAACAACAGTTTGTGGATCACACAAAGTGTCGTCCCATGTGGGGATCGGACCCACAACACTCGGCGTAGTAGCAAGCGGCGTGGCGACCGCTTAAACCTCTCCGCCATCCGTGCAGTCAGTTAGATCAGTTATTGCTAAAACTTAATTGAAATTCACGCAATCAAATCAGTTCGTTATATGCTGTATATGCCTTTGAATTGCCTAATTTTTCGATCAGGCCATTGGTGTCACTTCTGCACACACCCGTCTCATACTGCAAAGTTTGTGCTAAAATAACCAACCAGACTGCTAATAAACAGACATATATTTTTCTTTATAGACACAGAACAAATGAACGATATTTGTTCTGTGTCTGGGTGTGTGATGGGCACGAGCTCATCACATAATTATTTGTCCTGGGTTAGATTCTAACCCACGACCTCTGACTTCTAAGCGGCTTAGCACACACACACAAATAAGTCAGTCACAAACCAGCACCATTCAAGAAAAAGTATTTTAAAGCTCATTTTAAACGGTAAACAGCATTCACGCACTGTTTATTAGCTACAATGTGACTGGAGACTCATAATATTAATAATTTAACGTGCTTCACAAACCGTGATATACTGTGGTACACTTATGTTATTATTTTTGCTAATTCGACCTCGGTCCGTTGCTCCCAAGACAAGATCTCTCATAAAATATGCTGCGTATCTTAACAGATCCAGCGAGTTAAATATTTTTCTAGAAAATATATTATTATATGTGAGTCACGATTAATGTTTATTGTGAATGGTGACGTAACAAGGTATTGTTTGTGAAATTAGACAAATATGGTTCATATAGTTAAACCGCCGTAAGCTTGGCCCTCCTGATGGTTTGCGGGACGCGGGGCGGGTGATGCGCTCGGCTATACATGACACGATGTACTAACTCGATATCTTCAGATTTAGGTATTTGTTTGAGATTGAATCTACACACGATGTAATAAAAATCGAATTTATTTCCATGTATTATAATGTCAGTGTATTGTAAGTTTTTATGATTAATTGTAAAATTTAATACTGTAAAATAATTTTAATAAAATCACCTTATCTTCATCATGTAAATTATATTCAAATACAATTTAAAAATTAAGTAAAATAATAAATATTCTTTATTAGAACTTTAACAGTAGAACCTCTGCAAGACGAACTTCAAGTTTTTAAATCTTTTTGTGACGCAGAGTCGGAAGATTATCCACGTTGCAAAATAATACCGTGTCTTAAGAAAAATAACACGTACAGCCATGCTTTCACGTCAGTCACTGCCGGCGGACAGCGACGCACTAGCTAATTGGTTGAATGCACCCCGCCCAGCGTCCCCCAAACCATCAGGAGGGCCAAGCTTACGGCGGTTTAACTATAGTTCATTTATTCAGAAACAATCATATAATTATGTTTGATTTTACCTGACTTTATCTGACTAGAAATTTGACTACCTAAAATATATTTTTATGTCTAGATGACTCCTTGAAGACATTTGGAATGAGATATCTAAGAACTTATATTTGTGAACGTTGGGTTTAGAGGGTAAGGCAAAACAAACAAAAAAAAAACCTCGACATTCTAGGTTGCATTGACTACCAAAACGAAAATTTTTAAGGAGTATGTAAAATTGTTTACAATCCTAGAGATTTGCCGGATATCCGTATAATATCAGTATCTATGGTTGCTCGAGGCAGAAAGAAGATGTTTGAGTCCGCACGTTACTCTTTCACGGATCTTTGACATAATGTGACGGATATTTAGATTGTCATGTTACATACACAAAATTAAATTATTACTTTACTGAAATAAAATTAAATATCTACAATTGTATACTATTATTAAAATTGATAAGGTACTCTTCGATCAACCCCGAATCTTTGTGGTATGTGTATTAATATTTGTTTTTTTTTTTAATACAAGCAGTACAAGTAGAATCATGTATTGTCGATTTTTTTTGTAATAGTTCACTTTTAATTTTAATTTAACGGTCATAAAATAAATTAAAGAGCTCTAGTAACGCTGTACGACTTTTTTCACGTTTTAATATGTTAGGGCCAGAATAATTTACTTGAAGGTCCTTGGCGGAAACTTGCCGGTATAATGTATTCTGAGCTTAGGCATTTACCCTACTGTGTAGGGAATAAAAACAAATTTATAATTTATATTAAATATTTTATTATCTTATAATTAATTCTGTTCATGTCCATTTCCCTTGTGTTTACGACTATCTAGTTCGGCATAAATTGCATAATAAGTTCTATGCTTCTCTTCTGTACGGGATCTCTTAACATCTTTATCATAACTCCTATCTCTACGACTCCTTTTATGCCTTTCATGTTTGGCTCTGTGTTCTTTCATATCACTTTCTCTTTTATCTTTGTGCCTCTTATGATCCTTTTCTTTACTATTTCTATTTTTGGATCTGTCTTTACGGTCATAATCAATCTCTGAATATCTATGATAATCATTGCTATGGCAATTATTTCCACCAGAATGCTTCTCCTGGTTTACTCTGTCAGAATTTTCATTATTATCTCGTTGGTAAGACATATCTTCTGTTTCTTCAATAGACTCGATTTCACGTTTTATTTCTAAAATTAAATTTCTAGCTCTTTCGGTATCTGAATCTCTTTGTTCTTTCTTGCCTCTATCTATAGACTTCCGTTCATCATTTGGTCTATCTCTTTCTTTATGTTCTCTGTATTTTGAATCATAAGCGTGTCTTTCCTTTCTCTTGTAATCTCTATCCCGTCTTGTATCGTACTTTCTTTCTCTAGATCTGTCTCTTTGTCTGTCTCTAGACTTGTCTCTGTGCACTCTATTATCATCTCTGTCCCTCATTTTATTATGTTCGTTTTCAAGCCTTTTGTCTCTACACCTGTCTTGATGCCTATCACTTCTACCTCTGTCGTCCTTATTATATCTGTCGTCTCTATTTTTATTATCTGTGTTATCTTTTTCTCTCGTACTCTTTTCACTATCTCTGTCTCTCTCTCGCTTACTAAATTCTCGTCTATGTGCCTGTTTACCTCTACTGTCAGCTTTTGAATGTGTATCTTCATTTGGTTCTTGGTTTGCCTCTTCGGTTATATTTGCATTTAGTTCATTAACATCTGGTTTAGTATCTACCTCGCCTAGAACTTCATTGTACATTTCCATCTGTAAACAAACACATAGTTAACAAGAACGATGAATAATAACAAGTGTTAACTCAATGTTATTATGACGTTAATGCAGTTGTTTAAACATATTTACTATTTTATATTAAATTCATGTTTCTATGAAACAAAAGTTACTTTATAATAGAAATAATTAATATTGAATTTAAAGTGGATGTGTGTTGTGTCCAGGCGACACGTTGTTTTTTCAGCCTAGATGGAAGGTAAAAACTTTGTTGTTGGTGCAGGTAAACAGAAATGAAAAATACTTTAAGGATTACTACAATAAATTTAACACTACGTAGGCCTACTACGAATAGGAGTCCTTCCTAATCCCCTCCAAATCCTCGTTACCTCTATGCGTTTGAAACCGAGGTAAGTATGTTGTAAACTACAAAATAATCGATCTGTACATCGCAATCTTTATGACTACAAAAAGGTACATATAATATATACAGTATTACATATCACTAGGAAATGACTATGTGAGTTTATCGCCTAATTAGGGAGGGGTAATAAATAGCTTTATGTTATAAAAAAAAGCTTTAATTATGGACATAACCGTAATATGATGTACAACATTTTATTACCTGTGTCTTTATAACGTCACGCAGCACATCAGAATAGTTTCGCGATTTAGGTGCAACACGGTATTTGGTGCGCCGGCGCCGCATGTCCCGTAACTCCGCCAGGATTTCCATGCGTGTCTTCGTCTTTGTAGTCTGACCATCATCACCAACACTGAGGAATTGCATCTTTTAAAATATTTTATAGAAACCACTTAAGCTGACAAAAGATTATTTCACAAACGATATTACAATAGTATTAAAATAGTATAACGGGTTTCTTCCGAAATAGTCCCATTTAAATTTCATATAGATCTGATGACGAGTTCCGGAGACAGACAACGGAACTCTTCAAAAAATGACAACAAAAGAACCGCAATTGCTGCTAGGTTCTTAATGCTCTTGCGTCAGTATTGCTTGAAGTCGGTTCAACTTCTTTTTAAAAGGATTTTTCTTGTTGTGATAGAGGGTGCAAACGAACAGACGGTGACTACCATCGCCACTAGAAATCTGCAACTCAAAAGTTATAAGAGTATAGCTCCCATCCAGCCAACTCATTTGTCAGATAGCATGATACGGGTTGGTATAGGCCTTGTTTCAAATTTTCCTTCTCTTTGCAGTGCTGTTGTCCTGCGTAGTTTGCTCCCCAGTAGGCTCTTACGACACCCACGGGATGTATAGGGATGGTGAGGTGACACTGTATTCTTAATCCTTCACCACACGGATATTTCCCATATAGCGGAATTTATTTATTTGACACGCCTTCAGGACTTAACCATTCAATTAACCATTAAATTGATCACGAAATTTTGTACAGGTATACATTGTCAGAGGACGACCTTGAAACATTCAAGAAAAGAGCGTACTCATTCCTCAACGGCCGGAAACGCGCTTGTGTCTCCTGAGTTGCAGGCGTTCATGGGCAGAGGTAGTCACTTTCCATCAGATGACCCGTCAGCTCCTATTCCATAAAAAAAAAAAAACCCCGAACCCCAAGAGAGAGGTGAGTGACGAGGCCGAAAGTTAATTCTATAAGTACCTTGGTAGTGCTAAATCAGTCAGGTCGTGACAAGATGGTGCAGCAGCAACAACGGCGTCATATATAGCTCTGCGCTCGTCCACAGAATAAGTGCACTGCAGCCGCCCCAGGGTCTGCGGCTCCAGGTCGCCACTACCCACGCCTTGTGTTAAGGAAACTTGTGCATTAACTTTACCTAAACACCCATATATTTCTAGACTTACAAACCACTTAAAATTTAATGAAAGTGAGACATGTTTAAAAGGTATAACGTTTTATTTTAAATTACATTACCACAAGACTAGCAGCAATGATGCATGGCAATGCTGCCAGTCTTCAGCAGTGCTTTTCTCTAAGAAAACAGACTTGTGTACAGCTTAGTTTGAAATTCGACGCAGTGACAGCGCTGTAGCGTCGAATTACAAACGAACGTATTTTAGAGTCCGACGCTGTGGCAGCGCTATACGCTAGGTTTGTTTCCTTAGAGAATAACACTGCTGGTAATGCTAGCCACATGCTTGTAAATAGATAATTCTTCTTTCACGTTTTTTAAAAAACACAACTTTAGCACTAGGAACATATCCTGTGTCAGGGGGGGGTCTTTACAAACATTAATGAAACGGACACAAAGAACACCAGACTCAGAACAACAATTTTTCAATCACAACAAAGTGTTGTTCAAAACGAATATGTAGGAAACGGCGACGTGATCGCTTAAACCACTACGCCATCCAGTCATAATAGTTAATATATTAATCAATGTACTAATTTAAAGTTTTGTCATCAAATAGTGACACATTGGGCTATTGATGAATTGCCTAGAAGTCCCATTATTTTACTGCACTAATGGGACCATCAGCAACGCTCAAATACTATAAAGGAGCTCCATTAAACTGCTAATATTATAAAGGATACCATATAAAGAAATCATAGCTGATTATGTCCTTAACATGTTTCAATACAAACTGGAAATTAAAAACATATAATTAGATAATTTAATAAAGAACATAATGCCTATTTTTCTACTACAGCAATAACATGCCATCTATAAATTACATCACACAAACACAAAATGTGAAGTATTAAACATAAAACTTTAACTGTTAACAAACCACATTACTATGCTTTAATTAAAAAACACACTGTTGTTGTCATTTATTCAATTCTGAATATATTATTAGTTATAACCTCACACAAATCACACACGGTTGTCTGAGCCCAAACTAGGCAGTGCCTCTTTTTTTTTTTTTTTTTTTCCGTGCGGTACTCCCCTCGGATACCACCTGTCGTTGGCATGTCGGACTCGAACCGACTAAAACCGCACGCCGTATCGGGTACTAATAGCCGGGGAACCAGGTATACTTTAGAAAGGAAGTCCCTGGTGCCCCGACATACCTCGGGTCATCTACAGACGAGTAGACGACCCCCCCCGTGTAGGAACCCCATGTTCCCTGTGCTCCCTGGAAGCAAGCAGCCAATTTCACTAACCACTAGCTGAACAGGCCCACCCAATATAGTCATGTTTTATGATTTGATAGCCCAGTGTCAATGTATATGAATTATACCAGAAACATGGAAGGTTTGATAAATGAAAAATCCTGTGATAGAAAAGCCTCGAAAATCTTTAAAAAGGGTGATGTAATTGATGGATAGCCATGTGAACAACGATACAAACTAATACCAGTGGTTATAATACATGAAAAACTGTTTGCTTTGAAATTACCTTTCTTGAATGTGGGATCTGAATGTGCTGCCTTGTCAATTATGTGTAAAATATCTTCTTTACCTGCAGACATGTAATAAAAATCTATTTATGATAAGTTTTTAGCGAAGAGTATCAGTGGTAGGTGGGTTTTAGCATAGAGTATCTAGGCTTAGAGAAGAAGTATGAGGATAGGCAGCTGGTCTTTAATTAGTAGCTAGTGATCACCCAGTGGTCAAGTTTTGTCAATTTTGAACATTTTACTTTATTTCATTGACCAGTATTAGTTGGACTATAATAGACTTTTCTACTATATCAGGTCAAATATATACCATGCCAATGTCGCTTTATGAAGGTGTTTTCATATATATTTTTTTGCTTTAAAGCTTGTATTATTTAAAAATTTGATTTTTTTTGGAAATTATTAAGGGAGGCCCATGTCCAGCAGTGAATATCCATGCACTGCTGGACATAGTACTGAGATGCTGATGATGAATGGAATTAGTGCTTACCAAGTTTCATTAATGTACTGGCACTACTGCTTAATGGATGTGGCAAAAATTGATCATCTTGACTGTATCCATGAAGTCGGAGTACACATTCTTGCTCATGCCTTTCGATGTTGTCAGGGCAGATTTTATGATTGACATCATATTTGCATGAAACCATTGCAGGATGCTGAAATAAAAAAGTAAAACATTTTGCATGAATTAGAGTTGTAATACAATGATTTGTATACTTCGGTATATTCTTAAGACCTTTGAAGTAATTTTTATATCAAATTTAACCTGCAAAATTTGTTTTCTATCCCATTGAACACTTTGTAGTATCATTGTCAAATCTTTATCAATTTCTTCTGTATAAGATCTTAATTTATTTAACTCTTCAATTCTTACGTCCATTTTGTCCAATGTAATCTTTATTATACAATAAAGTTATTTAAAAATCTAACTTTAACAAGCATATTTAATTTTAGATATCAAAACTAATCTGTGATCAAAACAATCCACATTATACATAGACTAACAAAGTCTGCAATTTCAAAGAGAACAGTACTCTGTGGTCTGCATTGTCTACAAGTCACAAAGGGGTAAATTTCTACCCGTAACTTTTTGTTTCGCTTAAAGTAATACAAATAAAGATATTGATATGTGTAAATTATTTTGTTTTCGTTAAATTCTTTTTTTATATATTCCACATTGTTTGAAATAAAATAAAAGTGTAAATCTTAAAGTAAAGGCCTCATATTCAAAGGTTTGAAAAAATAATGGTCTTGTCTTTGATTTCAAAACTGGCAATCCGAGACATGACAGCTGATTAGTGCCAGACTTCTTTTTTATCTGTATTTCCTATAACGAGACGTGTGTGCTTTTTTCAGACAATTTTTTCAATAAATGTGTGTGAAAAATGGCAGATTCCGAGGTAATTTCAATAAGAAATAATTTTTTGCATCATCACAATTGCAACCTCATTGACTACCTTTAATTCTCTTGACAGGTTTTAAAGAAATTAAAGGATATACCATTTAAAATCCAAACCGCAAGTTTGAAAGAACGGCGTGAGGCAGTTGAGGAAATACAGAAAGTGTTATCTACGCCGGGTAAGTGTGAATTTACGCTAAAATTTACTCATATTATACTCAAGAATTAGATTATTAACGTTTTTAAATATCTATAGAATAGTAGTATTTATAGGTTGTTTGTCCAGCTGTATTGATCCATAGAGCCCTGGATATAGCTCAGGTATATTGCTATCTCTTGATTGAGTATCAAATGTACCTGTTAGTAGAGGACGCTGTATGCAACAGATTGCACTTATATATAAACACTAGTACATCAAAAGATCAATACTCTGATTGAACTGAACAACTGTGACTAAGTTTTCAGATGTATGATATTCAATGTTGTTGAACATTATTTGCAAATAACTTTTGCTTAATTTTATTGAAACTAAATTAAATACACTCTATTTACAACATTGTCATATTTAAACAGGCTTCTCTATCTATTGTAGTTGGGCAAATTTTGAATGACCCAATTTTTTTTTTGGGAAAAACAAACTGTATGCTTAAGTATAAATGCTTAAATATAAATACATACCTTTAAATACCATTAATCATTGCTATAGTGCTTAGACAACATAATTAACTATAATTATTCTTAATAAATCTTCTTATAGGAATCATTAAAATAATAAATATATCGTAATGTTACTAGGTATCACTGAGCCAGCTGTAAGGTATGTGTGTCGCCTGCTAGCTCTGACCCTACACCGCTATAGAGATTCAACCTCTCAGTCATATGTAAAAAACCTGGTACGATACCTAGCTGCCAACCACAGGGAATGGACTCTAAAAGGGCTCCTACCAGTCCTGCTTGAAATATCAGAGCAGCTTAAGAACACAGCTACATCGTAAGTTTACTTTTTTTTTTATATAAATTAATGTTCAGAAACTAATGTCATGTTAACAACTAACCAGTATATTTTTTAGATATTTTTTTCTTGTGGTATATTGGGGTTAACGGGACGGGTCACCTGATGGTAAGCAACTACCGCCGCCCATAGACACCTGCAACTCAAAAGTCACAAGTGCGTTGCTGCCCTTATAGTCCTGCCTGCTTCAGTTCAGGATTTGGGCTCCGGTAACCTTACTCGCTCAGTGAAAGGCAACGAAAGAATTACTTAAACCGGTTTTCTGTGAAGCTTGCTACAGCTTGCGAGGCTATTGTGCCTATAATGTGTGTTCTAAGAGCATTGATGAAAAAGTAAAAAAAAAAACTTCCTCTCATAATCACTAACAAATCATCATTTATTTCAAACAGAAAAAGTATATGCCAGAGTGGACTCTATGCTCTACGCTGGTCTACAGTACTGGTGGAAGGCACTCTTCAAGCTACAGAAGAAGATGGAGTAGACTATAATGGACTTGTACTGGCCCAAGCCAATTTACTTGCTTCAATCACTGCATATGGGGACAAAAGGAAAAATGAAAAGGCTTTTTCAATAGTAAGTGCTGAAAAGTAATGGCTCACCATAAAAATGTGAATGCATTTAATTACTATAATTTTAGAGATTATTTAAACTAGAGTTTTTAATTCATTTACGGTATAATTTAACTCTAAAAAACATAGTAGGTATATAAACATTTTGATCCATTCTAAGGTTTGTACGCTACAGATCTGAAATCTCTTGAAAATTTTTTTCTGATTAAAGATTTCTCTATCTACCTATATATCTGGATAACCTAATAATCAATGTTTTCATTGTATCAGTTTTCAGTCTGACCATACACAGTGTAATTTGAAAACAATTTATTGCAAATAATTTATTGCGATTTCATGTGCTCATTAAATGTTGTGCAATAATAGTCAGATTCTTTTCTCTCTCTCTCTGCTAGCGTGTCAACATTTTTTTTTTATATAATTTATTTTTCAATATAATTCACGGTTAGTAATTGTACTAAAACACTAAATTATTTATATCAAACACATGACACAATTACAAGAATTTAAATATATTCAGTTTGGTTTCAAATAATATTTTTATATTTTTTTATGTATTTAATGTTATGAACAATGATGCAAAGTAAAAAGAGTAAGGAATTATCCTTGGGCACTGGCTAGAATATTAGCTTATAGCTTTGCAGTTTGGATAATACATTAACCTTTCTATTTAAATGTAATATTTGATATAAATCAATTATGCAATATGAATACAAGTTGCGCACATAGTAGTATACAACCAAATCTTTAGAAAACACATATGTTTAATTAGATATCAGATATCTTTGATTGTCTATGTGATTTAAGTGTTGTGTTGTGAGTAATTTTACTACAGTTAGTACTGCTCTTTTACTATGTATTCAATGTTGATGCAATTCATCAAAAATTGCGTAACCGTGTAATTGTGTGTATTAAAATATAGCACACAACTAAAAGTATGTATATTCTAGCTACACAACACATGGTCAGCCATTGGCAAGGAGAAAACATCAAAATGGCTAGAAGTCCTTGTGGCGACACCTGCGGACTCTGGCCCTCATGTCTGTGTGGCGTTCTCTGTTCTGTGTCGACATCTGAAACAGATTGGGGATGATGCCACCATTGATCAACATAAGGTAACTACTCTAATTATTCTGATACATGAACAGATCTTTATTTGTGTTATTTTATTCTTAACAAGTCTGAATAACAAGGTTTTGGCCAAAAGAAATCTCAAAAATGAGCAATTTAACTGGACCTGTGCTTGGGAAATAATATTAAAAATAATTTCCGACATCTGACACACAACGCCATCTAGTTTCAAACTAAGCAGAGCTTGTACTATGAAAACTAGATTGACTGATAGAATACTTAAATACTTTTTTGTAAATACACACATAGAAAACACCCAATGTATGGACATCCTAATTCCCTGGTGTGATTGCAAATTTTTTGAAAAAGTTTATCCAGTTCCTTTTTATTTCAACTACTTTTGTTCTATTAATTATATAATCTATGTATTCCCACAGGTAAAAATTTTAGAAAGCTTCACAAAGAGCATTATCAGTGTAAAATCTCGGCCAAATGCAAACTATATAAAGGGCTGTCGTGAGCTGTTGGCACAGTTAAAAGCTGCTGACGTTAATGATACGTTACTGCCAGCCCTGGCTAAAGCTATGTTGCGCAGCCCTGAGACAATAGTGCAAGCTGTCGGCGAAGTATTTTCCAGTTTGAATGTAGATCTGGAGGGACTGGCAGTTGATATTGGAAAGAGTTTGATTGGTGAGTTGATGAATTTCTGATTGATAAATTGTGAAAAACGTGTATTGTACGGAAATTGGTTTAATTGTAGCGACATGTTTATCGCAAATTGCATAATCTTGTTTCTTCTTTTGAGTAAGATAGACAAGTTCTGCTAACTTTCTAATATTAAAACTTAAGAGTGTTTAGTGGTGTTTGTTTCAAGTGTTTATAAGTAATAAAAATAATTTAGGAATTATTTTACAAAAAAAAACTTTGTGCCTGTGTGTGCATATCTTGTACATTAACTAATTGATTCATTTTTCTATTTATTGTACATTTCAATATCATATAATGTAATTTTGTTACAAATATTTAGGTTGGTGTTATATTTAATTGCTGTATAAATATTATAAAATATGAATAAAGATAGTTTGTGGTATAAGTACTATTAAAATATCAATTTATAAATAACAAGTAATTAAATAATAAAAATGTACTCATATTGACTGTCAACATTTTACACCTACACCTAAGTACACACACACATGTATACTTAATTTAATATCTTAAAAAATTAACACCTATAACATTAATTGTTGTATTAATAAATTGTCCTTATTATAATTTTAGTGAATCTCCACTCCAAAGATGAATGGGTGCGTGTAGAAGCTAACATCGCGTTACAGCGGCTCGCAGCTCGATGTTCCCAGACAGTAGCGGCCAAAGCACTGCTCAGTCATGCCTTCGCTGCTTACAATGGCGCCAGTGGGAAGTTAACCTCCAGTGAGGACAAGATTGCTGTTCTAAACGTTAGTATAACACAATCACAAGAAATTAAAAAGATTTAGAAAACTAGTTATATAGTAAAAATAGTTATATAAAAAAGTTATATAAAATAGTTATATAAAATTATTAAGAAAAATTAAGTTGTCTTTACATATCTTTTTTATAAAGATTCTTCTACTTAATGTGTGAATGTCAATGTAACTGAAATCCTAAATTGTTAATCCGATTTTAATGAAATGTGTGAATGTGTGTTAAAGTAGGTCCCTGGATGACTTCCATTTGGAATTACTTCTCTCTCTCTCTTCTCTCTTCTTTGGATTCTTTTATGAGGAAATTTTTATGGTTTAGATTTACTGTTAAATGAAATAGATGCCGCTGCAACTTGTTTGTAATTGTTTTTTTATTATAGTGTTTCTTTGTTTTATTGATGAAATTCCATTTCTTTGATTCCTTTACTGATGAAACTAATCATTCAGAAATGTTCGGGCATAGTAACGTTTGTGGAGTTAGCTAGTTTACATAATATGAATTGTTTTGACTTTCAGGGAGTGGGTACGCTGAGTTCACTAGCTGTAAACGGTGAAGATAGAATGGTCCTGTTCACCGAAACTGTGACGCAAATATCGCGTGTGCTGGAGAGTGAGTCGCACGAGCGTACATTGTGTGTGGCGCTTGATGCCTTGCAGAAATGGACTCTAGGGCTCAACACTACCATGCCTGCCAAGATATTGGAAATATTCAAGGTAAACTTCTTAAAAACTTCTAATTAATACAACATATTAGTACAAATTTCAATGTGTACATTACCATTGATACAAATTGAGATTCGAGCTCGCTATAAACCTCATCGCTCTTGGCATCAAGCTTAAGACATTTGTATTGTTTTAGAAAAACCTGGGTGCCAAGAGTACGACACAAGCAGTGAGGACATCGTACGTGAGTATGTTGTCAGCGTGCGTACGTAGTTGCGGCACCACTAGTGAACAAGCAGAAGCATTGAGGCCCCTGCTCAGCAAAGCTGTGGAGAAAGCTGTACAACAACCACTACAGGTGAGCCAAGGTTTAAAACTTATAAACTACTAACTGTACCCTGCCATGCTTTGCTGGGGGACATTGAAATTGGATTATTGAGAAATGAGGAACAAAATTGACGCGAAAAAATATATTAATACAATCCTTGAAGCGGTTTGTGTAGCTTGTCAAAATTTGAGCTCAATCGGTGCTCAATTTAATTGTACACAAACTAAAAAAAAAAGACAACTCCCTCATTAGGAATATATCCTATGTCGCGGGGGACTTTACAAACATACATGAAACGGACACAAAGAACACCCAGACTTAGAACAACAATTTTTGGATCACACAAAGTATCTTCCCATGTGGGGTTTGAACCCACAACACTCGGCGCAGTAGGAAGCGGCGTGGCGACCGCTACAACCACCGCCATCCGTGCAGTCAAATATACTATAATTCGAAATCATAATATATTATACTGCAGAATTGTTTAACCTGTTGCAAAAAGGAGAGGTGTTACTAATGTAACTTGTTTTAATGTTTGTTTGGGTGTACTAGTCAGTACATCATGGTTCCTAAACGGATAGGCCGATGTTCACTTGTTTTTTTTTTATCATAGTTAATATTTTGTTCTTTTGTCACTACATTAAAAGTTTGATAAAATAAAAGACAGTGCGTTAATGGCCGTCATATTATATTTAAAACCCGAATTAAATTGTCGTCATAGTTAACAGACTTCTTATTTTAAAATATTTCAGAAAAAAAAAATGGATTTAAAAAATAACTTCGATTATATTCAATTAAGATTCAGTAGAAATATTCATGTAGTTATATTATCTTATTTAACGCTTGCAGCACTTGGTAGTAAGTGAAGGAATATGCGCGATGCTTGGGCTGACGCTCCTGGACGAGGACCGCGACCTTCCGTCCAAGAGCGCGGTGTGGGCTGCGCTCACCCATCCCGACAAACACGTACTATTACACGACAGAGTACTGACTTCCGCCAGCGATGATGGTAATTGGTATTTTTTTTCTTGAGCTTTCTAATATCACTAAATTGCGATATATATCCAATTATGTAACATTCGTTTTTTGTTGTTGGTATTAAGCTACTAGTTCACAGTTCTTAAGCTACTAGCTAAAATTAAATACGTTTGAATAACAGTGTAACACGCCTTTTTAATTTTTTTATAATGTCACTTAAACTTATAAATAAGCTTTTTATTAGCTGTTATTATAAATTGTGATATTTAATCTTGCTTTTCACTTTTTTTTAAATTGCCCAATATTGCTATAACATTTACCCCTTTATAGTCCTAATACAGGTGGTGTTGCTATGCAGAAATATATTGGAAAACTACCAAAATGTTGCCAGCGAACAGAACTCCCCAATTTACAGAGCATTTGTCCTTGTATTACTATCTCCTATAAAAGCCGTCCGTTCTACTGCTATTGAAGAGGTTAAATCTCTGATTGCCAAAGAAGATAGATTCACATTAGCAAAGAATTTATCACGAAAATTGAATGAAGTGTTAGAAGAAGGAAAAATATTTACTGTGAAGGAGAAGTCGCCGTCAGAAGAGAAGGGTGGCGAAGTGACTGGTAAAATGATACTGGACTGTGTTCAAGCACTGTGTTCATACAAAGGTGAGTTTTCATAGTACTTGTTATTCTATAAATGTATTTGGGCCAATTGATCTCGCACAAGCATTTCACACAACGACGTTGAGTTCAGTAGGTCACGATGTGTTCATAATTATGCAAGCCCAGTACATCTCGGTTCTTTATCAAGACCCATGCTAAAGAAGAGAAACTTGGAGATCCAAGATTGTATTTACATTCAAGGACTTGATCTCTCATGCTTAATTTATAGGAGGAGGAATCCTGCAGGGTTCTTATCTCGGTCCTTTTTAAATTTTAAACGAACCGTTTCTGCAATGTAGGAAATAAATATTTAAACTATGTAAAGCTCTCTGCAATGTTTATATTTGCTGTCTACAAATCAAACTTCCTGGAGTCCAATTTATACAAAAAAAAGACTAAAAAATCATTCATTTCGTGCAGGGTACCCAGAGAAAGACTCACAAGAGCTGGCAATAGATGTCCTACCATCGTGCCACCACCCACTGGCCGTGGCTGTAAACAAACGTGCTTGGGTGAAACTAGTGTCGTACTTGGGTCACGATCCAAAGAAACTAGTGTCATTGTATGCCAACAATTTGAAGAATAAATACATTTGTGATTATGAACCTAGTGAGGTAAGACGGTTTTACTTAATTTAATAATATTAAATAATGTTTTTGTCTTTCTTTTTCATGTTAATAATAATAATATTCCTCCACATTCACACAACGCCATCTAGTCCCAAACTAAGCAGAGCTTGTGCTATGGGTACTAGACAACTTATATAAATACATACATACTTTGTTTTTTGAAAATACATACATATATTACTTAGAAACACCCAGACCAAATCAAAAATTAAAAGTTCATGCACACAAATGTTTGACTTGAGCGGGAATCGAACCCGCGACCTTTAGAATAGCAGTAGAAGGAAAATATAGTAAAAAGTTATGCATAAAGGTTTTCACTATTATTACCTATAAACTTTGGCCCAGTTTGTTAAGTTAACTACATCTTTGTCAATGAAATTTATAAAACAATTTATCAACTACACAAAAACAGAAAAAAATAATGATTTTAGTTATAACAAATTTCGGCAATTTTTCGCAAATTTTTTTCGCAAAATTTCGGCAATTTTTATAATAAATCTTCATAAGTCCAATATCTTGAAAATGGTTATGTTGCGGATATGGTATTTCATATTGAAATCTATTAGTAATAATGGTCACTACAACCCCCTTTTTTTTTTCCGTGCGGAAATCCCCTCGGATACCACCTGTCGGTGGCATGTCGGACACGAACCGACTAAAACCGCACGCCGTCGCCGGGTACTAGTAGCCGGGGAACCAGGTATACCCTAGAAAGGAAGTCCCTGGAGCAACCCCCTAAAGTATCTAGGTCGACTTAACCAGTAACTCTGTATATGAATGTATATGTATTTATAAATAAATTTAAATATAGGTGAACAGCTGATGATGTGACTGTGAGGTTACCGGAGCCCAAATCCCCGACTCGAGGGGGAGGGACTCCAAGGGCAGCAACGTTCTTGTGACTTTTGAGTTGCAGGTGTCCATGTGCGGCGGTAGTTGCTTACCATCAGGTGACCCGTCTGCTCGTTTGCCCCCTAACTCATGTCTAATTGAACTATAGTAAATTTTCGGCCAAGCACTCGCACTGGTTGCGGGTACGTGTGTGCCGAAGTATATGTTTTAAGTTAAATTATCTAAGTAATTTGCATATAGTTTGTACATACTTCAAAAGATACGACTTCAGAATGCTTAGTGCATAACTATTAATAAATAAATAGGGAAATACCGAGTTTTTTTATGCCATAGAATAGTGTTTATACATAAGGATTGTTTATCAAACATTTTACCAGCAAACATTTTAACTATAGTATTTTAACAAACCCTTTTCTCCACAGACACTATCAAACGTGGTGTCGACTCTGGTGGCGACAAACGCTGAAGTAACGGCCGGGACTGCGATACAGACGGCACTTGACTCGCTGCTCGACCCTGAATTACTGCGCGTGTCCAGAGATGAGTACTTCACCTATCTGACACCAGAGGGCGAGTTGTACGACAAGAGCTCTGTGCCTGGGTAAGCAGAACATTTAAATTGAATCAAATTATACATTACTAACATATAATTTTTAACAACTTGATCCTTGTTATAAAATATTCACATTGTTTTCTGTTTATTTTTAAGTAAGCTTGTATTTTATTATTCAAATGTTCTAATATTAAAATTGTGTTATGTTAACAGTAATGAAGACAACAAAGAAATGAACATGAAACGTGAAAGTAAAGCGTACAGCTACAAGGACCAACTGGAAGAGTTGCAGCTTAGGCGTGAGATTGAGGAGAAGAAGCGACGAGAGGGGAAAATTAAAGAGGTACATAAAATAAAAGGAATAAGAAACTTCATGTCGTGTTATTGATACAGGTCATGAAATATATGCGAATGTGTATTTTAATTCTATTATCGTCTCTAAGCGTCGTCGTCTTCTGGTAAAGTAGGCCAAAACTTCCTTTTTAAGGAGAGGCCTAAGTCCAGCAGTGGACTATTTAATAGTGATAATGAATTTGTTGGTTACTTTCACTCCTTAATCATTTAACTGATCATTGTAGAATTTGCATATACGTAGTTTGGAGTACAAAAATGCATACAAGATACCTATAACGCTCGAAAAAAATACTGTCACTTTAGGATACTGTTTTTTTTTTACAAAATCTACATTCATGAGAGCGAAATCTAATATAACTAACGAAAACTAATATATGTATATGGGTTTAAGTTACTTATTCAAAATTTGTTACAGGTACCGCTGTCTGCTAAACAAAAGGAGGCGATCAAAGCTCAACTGGCGAAGGAGAGTGCTGTACGACAAAGATTGAGTTTGGTAAGATATTTAAGTCACTGTTGTGGATAATAAATTCCTCCCATACGCTCACCACTATAACTCCTGTACACTATGATCAATAGTAGTGACCCACGAACACATAGAGTCATGATACTTGATAAGTTCCGGAAAAAAAATGACTGCTATTGCGGGTAGTTAGATATATTTGCCTGAAATCTTTATCACTTCTAAATCCAGGGGATAAAAAGGCTTACTTTCGAACTTCTCTTAAATGTTTTTCCTGATTCATGGCTAAAAGCCTTATGATTATTCGGGGAATAGGTTCTAACGATGTCAATAAATGTAAATCCGGTACGTGGTTCAGTTGAACAGGCGCGTGGTGATCGCGGTGCGGTTACTGGAGGCGGTGCAGGCGGGGTCCGGCGCGGCGCTGTGCCGGGGCGCGCGGCGGGTGGTGGCGGCGGCGCTGGGCGGCCTGCGCAGCCCGCTCGCCGCCGCGCACCTCGCCGCCGCCTACCGCCGCCTGCGCCCCGCGCTGCTGCCGCACCACCCCGCGCTGGCAGACACCGTCGCGCGCCTCACTGTGAGGTCAGTGCCCCGCTCCATATAACGCTCGTTACGATATTACACAACTTTTATTTTAACTATGCGATGTAAAATCTGAGCTAATATGGGCTGGCCATATTAGCCGCAAAACCGACACCGTTGGGGAAAACGAGTTCTTGAGTGGAGACCGCGTCTCCGCAATCGTAGTGTAGGACGCCCACAGGCCGGGCGTAGTGACGATTTGCATAAGATGGCCGGCAGTAGCTGGATGCGAGAAGCCCAAAATCGATCTAAGTGGCCTGCAATGGCCTATGTCCAACAGTGGACTGCGATAGGCTGATGATGATGATGTGAAATCGATAAAAGTAGTCATTACCTACTTCGGTTGGTCTTTAATATATGGCGCTATGTAACAATAAAGAAAGTAAACTTTATTTAAACTTAAAAAATGTGTACAATATCATATAGACAATCATTAATATAATTATTGGATTTAAATAAAAGAAACGAATCATAACATGAACTTTACTAGTCTGTTTATAGATAAAATTAATGAAAAAATGTATATTAATTGTATCTTTTAGATTACTCAAACCCCAGTGTGATTTGGAACCCTCCTGGGAGGATCATGAACTGGATGGAGCAACTCAACGTACCATTAATTTGCTACACGCCATCACATCGTCAGGGAAGACCCAAAGTGACGATGAAGACGAGAGTAACCAGAAGACCAACCATCTCACTGCGCCGGGCTTCTGCTACGTGTTCCCACTACTCAAACTGGGTATGACATGTACTTTTATGTAAAACGATATATTTTTGCGACTTTACGAAATCACAGGGCCGAGGCTTATACGCCAAGTCACGTAATTAAAAATACAATGAAATATTTATTTAAAATCTAGCTTCATACTTAACGTTCTACCTCCAAATCTTCGATGGATATATTACCTGTGATTGAAAATAATTTCTACATTAATCAAACTCAAACTCTCTTTATTTCATAAAAAAATTATTATTGTTTGAAATCGTCTTTTATGCAGACTCTAAAGTCATAGATCAACACACACAAAAGCAACAATCTCTGTTTTGTCAAATAGTAATCAAATAAATTTAACAAAAATTAAACTTATACAAAATCTATGAAATGCCTTTAAACTCATTGTTTGCAATTGAGCAGGCCCTCCGGTACAAGCCACTTTTATCATTTTAACATGTGGCAGTACTGGAGGTAATATTTATTTGATACCCGACATGTCTGAGACTGTAAGTAATCGATCATGCATTTGTTTGAAAAGTAAACTTTAAAACAAAAACTTCACATAAGTTAAACAAATACAAGGTAAATTATAGTCTTTTTACTAAAGAGAATGAATATAATTACCAATTTGCTATATCAACGATTGTGTGTTGTTGTAGGTTTGTCTGGTTCGGCGGGCCGGTCCGACGAAGCTATGATGCTGAACGGCTTGTCGGTGATAGCGGAGCACGCCGCCCTGCGCGTGGATTGTGAAATGATGCACCCCTCATTGTTCCCCATCGACCATATGTTCCGCCTGCTCATCGATCTTATCAGTAAGTACCCTCATTACAAACGCAGAATATCGTTTTCATAGGCGACAAATTTTTTACTCTTTTTTATTTTGTTGTGCAAGAAAGAAAAGATATTTATTGTTGTACTTTTTTAGCTAAAAAACGAAGTCGTCATTGTATGTATGCAGCTTTTCTTTATTTAAGCGAAAAATATTATTATCTTGCAAAAACTTAAGTAAAAGTAACACTCAGTCTGAACTACTCGTAGAAAAGTGTTCAGTACAAGATGTATGAAATATTATGATACCAGTTTAGTAGTTTATCAGCTGATGACGTACAGATCCATATTTAGTTCTTTGATCTTCTTCATCAACAGCCTTTAATAGTCCACTGCTGGACATAAGCCTCTCCTTAGAAAGGAGGTTTTGGCCTACTATACCACGCTGGCCAAACGGGTTGGTATAGGGTTTATGTCAAGTTTTCCTTCTCTCTGCAGTGCTGTTGTCCTGCGTAGTTTTTTCCCTTAGTCGGCTCTTACGACACCCACGGGATGAATAGGGGTGGTGACATTCTGTATTCTTAATCCGTCACCACACGGATATTGATATTGATATTGATCTTCTTGAATCAAGTTAATTAAAATATTATTATGGAATTTTAACACGTGTCAGGAAGTAAATGTAAGTTTGAATTGTGAATCGCAGGCAGCACGAGCGGGCGCGTGCAGGCGGCGTGCACGGTGGCGCTGCTGGAGACGGCGCAGTGCGCGGCCCGTGCCATGCTCACGCTCGACGACGTCACGTGCCTGCTCGACGGGCTGCAGAGCCCGCTCGAGGTGCGTACACTACGTCTACTCGTTACTATCATTGTTTTATTTTAAAGCTATTGCATAGCGTCTATCGCGGGCCTTGAGCGTGGAGACCGAATCCAGAAATTTCGTAACGAAAATAACCTAACACCCGCCACTCCGACCGGCACAGCGGTGATACTTTTTAGTTTTGCCATCTATCGATGAATAGCAGAACTCTTAATGACTTTTTTGAAATATCACGCTTGTCTCTTTAGTTCAGCAACTCGCCTCTAGGTGGCATTGGTTGTGACGCGGTATTTGCCAGATATTTAGAAGATATCAAGTCTCAAACTTATGTTTCTTATTTCAGTTACCATAAACCTATAGTTTCAATGATAAATATGCCTGAATAACCTACATGTATTGTAAGATAATCAAAATATTTTGAACGATATTAACTTCTCATTTATTTAATAAAAGAAAAAAAAATTGTTTTCTTATCGGTCACCACGCTCAAAAAGTGTAACTTGAATTAATATCAAAGAAAAAAAACAAAGGAAAAAAAATGCTGCATAAATAAAATAATTATAATTGCATAAGTTGATAAAAAATGCTATGCAATAGCTTTACCGCGGCAGTCCCCGAGTGCCACACGTCTTTTTTTTTATTGGTGAGCTTACAGCTACAGTACAAGTACATCAGTAATTTAGTTGATGAAAAACCAATAACAAGCTTCCATAGACACAGGCAGAGGGCCGAGTGCATTCGTTCATTTCACATCGACTCGTTCTCGACGGCGAACGCGTTTATTGTTGTGATTGGTGAAGATTTCAGTGCTGACCAATCGTAGCACCGAACGCAGTCACCGTGACGATAGAGTAGAAGTGAACTAAACTCTCACTTGGCGTTCACTACGTTTATTTACTCTGTTTGTCAACCGTGTTAGCTAACGGTGAGCCTTACGGTACATTAAGTACCTATAAAGAATCAATAATTTTATAAATTGCGATCGAATCACAACTACATTAATAACGGCTTAGGAAAATATATTTAAGCGATTTTACTAGTGAGTCAGGATTGCACTTGAAATGAAGGAATATTCTGGTAAACTAAGAGTATTCTTGGTACTTCTCTCGATCCCAGTCCTCTATGATCTATCGCTCTTTGTGGTGACACCATCAGAAAACTACGGGCATCAATGTGGATCAATTAGATGTTAAAAAAACACATCAAAAAAAATTGCAGGTTATAAAAGTATATTCTGAACGTATAATAATGTAATTTGCAGGTGGTTCGAGATGCTGCACTTCGTGCTTTGCTATGTGTGGTAGAATGTCTGCCGTCTCTGCTGGAAGATCCTGAATACGCACTAACACTCACCAAAAGGCTATTGGTCGCTACATTCGATGTCTCTGAAGACAACAAGTAAGTTGTTTTTGAAAATGGAAAGCTTTCTGGTGACTCACTCACTCTTTGAGAAGGAACGAAAAGTTGCCCAACAGTGGTTCTATGTGACGCCTTGGTAGCACTTTGTTTGAGTCGGCCCTATGTCACTGCCAAGGTCGTATATAATCGTAATAATTTTTTGTAATTTTTACAGAAAACTAGCAGCGGATCTCTGGTCGAAGCTACCCTTAGCTCACCAATGGAGTCGCGAGCCTGAGCTCATAGAGCTCATGCTGCGAGAAGTCCAACACCCCGCCGAGCCGCTGCAGCGGGCCGCGGCCGCTGCGCTCGCGCATTTGGTAGAGAAGAGTGCCGACACAGCTGCAGCGGAACACGTGTTACAGCGACTCCAAGATATATACTCTGAGAAACTACCGGTAAGTAATAAATTTCGACTATGGAGTAAAAAAATCAAGTTAAGTAACTTCCGGGTTTGGTTTTCTAAAACAATAACAATTGTTTTGATGTTTGCCAGACCGTAGCCGTCCGTCGGTAATAATTGGAATAAATCGAGCATAGATGTGTTCCCCCAGATGATCCCGGCCAAGCTGGACCAGTTCGGGCACGTGGTGGAGGCGGCGCTGGACGAGTGGGGCGCTCGGCGCGGCGTGGCGCTGGCGCTGCTGGCGCTGGCGCCGCGCCTGCCCGCGCACGCCGTGCCGCCCGCCATGAGCTTCTTCGTGGAGCGCGCGCTCGCCGACCGCCACGACCTCGTGCGCGACCAGATGCTCAACGCGGCCATGGCCATCGTCGACCTGCACGGAAAGGTATCCATCAGCCAAGCTTTAGGTCGACCGGCATGGGTAGATAAATATCTACACTCCTCCTATGATTCATAGGTATCTTCACCCTAAGTCTAATATGTTTTGTTTAATGGCTTCGCTCGATCAAAGATGTTCCAATAAATATTCTTTATTTTCACATCTTTTCATAGAACTACCCGACGAACTTTAATTATAACCGAAGTAATTTTAATCTAACAAATTCAGTTAATAACAATGCAGGATCCATTCCACCAAGGAAAGCTTTACTTTCATGTTTAGTATTCGTCCCTGTAAAATCACTTAATAGTAAAGTAACGTTAAAAAAATGTTTAGCTTATTTATTTGTCTTTCCATCGTTCTTTTGTCCGTTTAACACATAAGTTTACTTATAAGTATTAAACATACTAATTTATACATACCAGGAAACCCTGAGCAGCCAGCTGCCGGTATTCGAGAACTTCCTGGACAAAGCTCCCAAGTCCGGCGGGTACGACGCCGTCCGGCAGTGTGTGGTGCTGTTGGTAGGATCGCTAGCGCGCCACCTGGAGAACACCGACCCTCGCATCAAGCCCATAGCACTCAGACTTGTAGCTGCACTTTCCACGCCCAGTCAACCTGTAAGTCTCATGTTACATTCAGATAACTAAATATGAAACCTTAACATTGCTGTTCCATTCCTACTGTGCTTAAAATGGTACTTTTTACAACATTTAATTAAAATTTTTGAGTTTAATAAGATATCTACATAACTACAAAACGTAAATAAACTATATTTTTTCTTAAATCTGTATTAAACTTTTTAAGTCTGGCTGCTACACATAGCAAAAAATTAATCAATAAATTCTCCACAAATGTACAATAATGTCTAGACAAACAAAGGCAATGTGTGAAATGTCTTTGCCCCTTATGCAACAATAAGAAAGAAAAACTATAATAAAATTAATAGATTACGATGTTTATCTACGTCTATTTACAAAAGTAACATTCTTTTTTCAGGTACAAGAGGCTGTAAGCAACTGCCTACCTTATTTGGTTAATGCACCAGCTCTTGAAAAAGAAGTCCCAACGATTATGAACAAACTTATGAAACAATTACTCACTGCTGAAAAGTATGGAGAGAGGAAGGTAAATAAATAAAGTAATTGGCTCAGTTACATTGTGATTTAACATATATATAGATGTGACAATATTACATCTAGAAAGAGATTTAGAAATAGTAAAACAGCTCTATTCCTATAAAGCTGTTCTGTCCGCCTAGTGTAAGTTCGTTTTACATCAACTCGCCCGTCACGGTGACCGTTGCGATTGGTGAAGAGTTTACTCACACTAGGCCCTCTGTGACTATTACTTCCACTGCAAGATAAATATACCTACCAGTTGCATGTCTACTACGCGCGAGAGTGCTCTTTACAAATATAATTCATTCGCTTAAGTATACGGACACCGCACGTCGCTCGGGACGTGCGCGTGTACGAATACGTGTATATTTTGGTACAACCCGCTAAGTAAGCTAGGCCCAATCATTCAAACACTCGTGTAGTTGGCAATATGCATTGATACTTTTCAGGGGGCTGCATACGGTATTGCTGGTATCATCAAAGGTCTCGGCATCCTATCACTGAAACAGCTCGATGTGATGGGCAAACTCACTGAGGCCATACAAGAGAAGAAAAATTATAAGTATCGTGAAGGTAATTGACACTACTTTCGACCTCTCATAGATATTAGTACTAGTAAGTAACACAGTTTTAGTATTTTTGACCGAGGAAAAAACAAAAATGTTGTTTTAATTCTATGCTTAAATTTTTTCTTCTGTTTTTTTTACTATGTTGTGAGGCTATTTTGAGGTTCTTTTGACTATTGTAATAATAAATAAGGCACTAAATAGTATCACAAATTAAAATTATATTTGCAAGTTGCTTGTAAAAAAAAATTGATTGCAATTAATTTTATTAAGTATATTAGAAAAACCCTATAACTATATTATACATTTGTAAAATATTTCTAACTAGTTTATAGAGCATTTTTTTTAAAGTCATAAAGTAAATTGATTGAAAAACTAACAGTTTTACTAATTATTACAATGTTTTCTGATGCATAGGGGCACTCTTCGGCTTTGAGATGCTTTGTTATAAGCTGGGCCGTCTGTTCGAACCGTACATAGTCCACGTGCTGCCACATCTGCTGTTATGCTTCGGTGACAGCTCGCAGTACGTGCGGGCGGCGGCCGATGACACCGCTAAACTCATCATGAGCAAGCTCAGCGCGCACGGGGTCAAGCTCGTGCTGCCATCGCTGCTTCAAGCCCTGCAGGATGATAATTGGAGAACCAAGGCGGGTTAGTATAGCCCTTTATTTTATTTTTTCTTTTTAAAAAAACACGTGTCACTGGGGACTCTACAAACATACATGAAACGGACACAATACGAATATTTACTTAAGAAACATATGTTAATATTTTGTGACTGAAATGAATACCAAATACAACCTTAATTAAAATGCTGTTAGAACTATTTTCTATTAATACAGAAGAGGATCATAGCAATTTAAAAATAATGGTTTATATTGTAATGTCATAATATACTCAAATTATTTTATTATCTGTATACTCTGGTTGCCGCCATACAAACCACGAGCTTAGTGCGGAAACAGCTGGTAATTCAAAATGTTGTAAATTGTATTGTTGAATTTAGACAATTCATTTATTAATAGGATCTATTGAACTGCTCGGTGCTATGGCGTACTGCGCACCTAAACAGCTGTCCTCGTGTCTCCCGTCCATCGTGCCAAAACTAATTGAAGTGCTCAGTGACTCGCACATGCGTGTCCAAGAAGCTGGCGCTGAAGCTCTCAAAGTTATCGGCTCTGTCATCAGGAATCCTGAAATCCAAGGTAAAAATTTACAGAATTCAAAAAGAATAATTCTATATTATCGTACCCCTGGTGGGACTCGAACCCACAATCCCCGGCTTAGGAGGCCGATGCCTTATCCATTAGGCCACAGGGGCTATAAGATTGCATTATGAAAATGTTCACTTTATTATAACAGTATTCTAATACAAAAATGTATGTGTCATTTGAAATAAATTGTGCTTTTCTATGAGAACCAGACCTGTTTGTGTAGGACTAGTTCTATTGTGTATTTGACATTTTTAGTTAGGAAATCAGTACAAAATTAAAAAATATTATTAAGTGTACTAATAATTACACCTTGCAATTTATCAAATTGTAAACAAGTTTGTTTATAAGAATATATTAGCAGTAATTATATTGCATGTAGTAAAAGCTACGTTTTTTTTTATTTATTAAATATAATAAATGTATTCTGCTATATGGAATCCTCCTGTTTTGCTATTCCAGGTATCCACTATTATATGTATCTTTACCTAAATTCAAAATAAAATATTAATAATAAATATTCAAATTTAAAAAGTTGTTGGGGAATTTGATTTATTTCTACACACAGTAATTTTTTTGATACCTTCTGAATAAGCTTTTCGATTTCTACCTTTATTACTGCTTGACCTACATTTATGCATAAAAGTTGTGTTCCAGCTATCGTACCCGTGTTGCTCCAAGCGCTCCAAGACCCGTCCAACAAGACATCGGCTTGCCTCCAGACGCTGCTGGACACGAAGTTCGTGCACTTCATCGACGCGCCGTCGCTGGCGCTGATCATGCCGGTGGTGCAGCGCGCCTTCCTCGACCGCAGCACCGAGACGCGCAAGATGGCCGCGCAGATCATCGGCAACATGTACTCCCTCACCGACCAGAAGGACCTCATGCCTTACTTACCCAATATTATTCCGGGGTTGAAGAGTTCGTTGCTGGACCCTGTGCCTGAGGTGAGTGTAATTAAGGGTAGAGATTAATTAAGCACGAGACTGATACAGGTAGTACTGCTTGTTATTGAGATGTAAGCACATAGAGCTTACAGCTAAGGAGTACATTATGTCATCATTATCATCATCATCAGCCTATCGCAGTCCACTGCTGGACATAGGCCTCTACCATTGCATTTTATGTCTATGAATAGTTATATCTACTTCATATGTTTACACTACAGTAGTTTAACATTTTAAAAAAGATGTAGATATAAGCTAAAACGCCTTCTAAAAATTATATATTCATTAATAACTATTTTTACAATAATAATGTAAACTAAATGAATTATGTTGATAAATGCTTTCATCATGAAATGAATTTTTGTGTTTATCGTAGATGATTATTAATTTACTTTAAAAAAAAAATACCATCCTCATCTGCTTACCCTTATCCCAATTTAATTTAGGGTCGGCGCAGTAAGCATGAGTCTTCCATTCTACTCTATCATCCGTTATCTCACTGTTTACTCCCTTCCTAGCCATATCCTCACCCACACAGTCGCAATACTGCTGGCTACATATGCATAATTACATTGACCGTATGCAGGTACGCTCAGTATCGGCGCGTGCCTTGGGCGCTATGGTGAAGGGCATGGGCGAGAGCAGCTTCGAAGAATTACTCCCGTGGCTGATGCACACGCTCACCTCCGAGTCCAGCTCCGTGGACCGCTCGGGCGCTGCGCAGGGACTCTCCGAGGTCGTAGCAGGGCTCGGTGTGCACAAGCTACACAAGATCATGCCTGGTAAGCACACATTTATGTTCTGAAGTCTAGAAGTGTCTTTGAAGTCGCATAACAACTATTGTATTTTCTTACTCAGCTCATCTATTCTATAATCAAAATTAATGTTTTTTTAACATTACATAAGAAATTACTAAATATTAACTTGTCATATATGAAAAAAAAATACTTTAAACAGCTTTTCCTGTAAGCATACAGCTTGTACTCTAAGACTGCACGGTTTTTTTAGTAGTTTTGGCTTTTTTGGCCTTTAGTAGTCCACTGGTGGACATAGGCCTCTCCTAAGAAAGTAGGTTTTGGCCTACTATGCCACGCTGGCCAGACGGGTTGGTATAGGGTTTGTGTCAAGTTTACCTTCTCCTTGCAGTGGCGCTGTCCTGCGTAGTTAACTGCCTTAGTCGCCTCTTACGACACCCACGCGATGAATAGGCGTGGCGACACTCCGTATTATTAATCCGTCACCACACGGAAAGCTTAATTAAATTTAAATTCGAACAAAATACACATTATGACATCGTAATTAACAAAATCGTTTCTCCAACAGATATCATAACAACCGCCGAGCGCACAGACATAGCGCCGCACGTTAAAGATGGCTACATAATGATGTTCATTTACATGCCGGGCGCCTTCACCGACGAGTTCTTGCCCTACATCGGACAAATCATCAACCCAATCCTCAAAGCTCTGGCCGACGAGAACGAATACGTCAGAGAAACGGCTCTCAAAGCCGGTCAGAGGATCGTCAACCTTTATGCTGAATCGGCGATCACTTTACTCCTGCCAGAACTGGAGAAAGGATTATTCGACGACAACTGGCGCATCAGATACAGCTCAGTACAGTTGTTGGGTGACCTGCTGTACCGAGTGTCTGGTGTGTCTGGTAAGATGAGCACGGAGACAGCTTCCGAAGATGATAACTTTGGTACCGAACACTCGCATAAGGCTATCATTAACGCTCTCGGTCCGGAGAGGCGCAACAGAGTCCTGGCCGGATTGTATATGGGCCGGAGTGATGTTGCACTCATGGTGAGGCAGGCGGCCTTGCACGTGTGGAAGGTAAGTGTTGAGAATGTATATCTATCATATTATCGTAATACATGCCTTGCCTACATGAGGAGGTTATTAATTCGGTTTATATTTTTTTTATGTATCTACGGGTTCCGTCATTTATAGACGGATTTCCAAAAAGCTTTTTTTGTTCGAAAGGGGTTTATGCCGAAATAGTCCCATTTAAATTTGATATAGATCTGATGATGAATTTCGGAGACAAAATGGAACTCTTCAAAACATGACAGCAAATGAACCCCAGTTGCTGCTAATTTTTAGTGCTCTTTGTTAGTACTGTTTGAAGTCGGTTCAACTTTTTTTAAAGGATTTATTGGTGAAAAAAATCCTACATGTGATCATTGCCACGTTGCAGAATATTTATCTTTATTAAATAATTAAGACAAAGTTGTGTTAAAAAACTCAAGAAGAAAAAACATTAAAATATTTTCAACTAATTGTCCACAGGTAGTGGTGACCAACACGCCAAAAACTCTTAGGGAGATTCTTCCCACACTCTTCGGACTGTTGCTGGGTTGTCTTGCATCAACAAGTTACGACAAACGGCAGGTTGCCGCCAGAACATTAGGAGATCTCGTTAGAAAGGTAGGTTTACGAAAGTAAACGTAATTTCGTATATAAGAAAGCTTCTGTAGAATTTTCGCTAAAAGTAGCGAGTTTATCTACGATTGATATGTTTATGAAATGGGCCCTAAATGATTTCTTGAATTGGTGGTTCCGATATTTGTTTTCCGGCTCGAAGGACCACGTCGAGAGTTGTATTTAGTAAGCGCAAGACTGTTTTTTAAAAAAAAGTAAATTTTAATAGTTACTAGTTAGATTATATGATTTAGCATTAATAGAAACTGTATATTTGTTATAGCTGGGTGAGCGCGTGTTGCCTGAAATCGTCCCGATCCTAGAGCGTGGTCTAAAATCAGAACGCGCTGACCAAAGACAAGGTGTGTGCATCGGTCTCGGAGAAATTCTCGCCTCTACTTCCCGAGAGGCCGTTCTCAGTTTTGCTGATGGACTGGTAAATAAGTATTTTTTTCTATCTTTATGTAATTTTAGTTTTCTAAGCATACGTTACATTATGGATCTCCTTGTGTGAGCAAGTAATACTCGCAAAGGAGATCGCGGCGGAGCGACACCGGGTGAGGTCTAGAACTCCCACGACGTGTCAGGCCCGGCACGGGCCAGGTTCCGCAGATGATTCAGGCGCCAGCGGTTGCAAAAAGACTGCCGTCCTCCATAAGAGCAGGCCTGGGGGTGACAGGAGGGGGTCATCTGGGTAGTACCCTGGTACCCTACGTACCTTAGGCCATCTACGGTGGGTACCGTAAATAGCCCAAGGTACGTCGGGTACCAGGGTTGTAGAAGTCAAGCACTTAGTCGCTAGGAGGGAATTGAGTCCCGCCTGTCACCACTGCAATTGCAGTCAGGACTCGGCTCAGCACACGCTGGCAATTTGCATGGCTTGGGCGTCGCAGCGTCGGGTCCTCACTGCAGTCATCGGAGGATATCTCTCGCTGCCGGCCGTTATAGGCTCCATGGCCGGTAGTGATAGTTGTTTTACCGCGGTCGCATCATTCTGCGAAGACGTCATCTCGATTTTCATCGATTCTCATCTTGATTTGCCAGCATCGACCCCACAAACTATTCGCTTTCGAAGCTCTTCACACACGGGTTTGCCACGACCCATTGTTATTTGTAAACTAATGAAAAAGACTGAAATTTCTCACTTGACAAATGACACAGAATTACTTTTACAAATTTAAATTATGCAGCATAATTGTACAAAGAATTAATAATCTTATCGAACTCACCGATAGACGAACTCTTTTGCATCAATTAACAATTAGACGAACTATTTTGCTCATAACTTCTTCGAATTTAAAACAGGATATGTATAAATTTAAAAAGCTAAAATAGTTTATTGGTTCATAATAAAAAAATGGCATAAGTAACGCGACATATGATAGTAGAACAGCTTTATATTTTATGTAGATATACAATAATAATGAAGTTAGAAAAAATCTCTCAAAGAAAAATTCACACTAGACGAACTATTTTGCATCAGGGCTCGTATATCATTTCATCATTGAGTGTTGTGAGCCAGTCCCCCACAAGTGTACGGTCGTGTGTCAGGTGCCGACTGTGCGCACGGCGCTGTGCGACCCGCTGGCGGACGTGCGCCTGGCGGCAGCGCGCACCTTCGACAGCCTCCACCTCACCATCGGCAACAAGGCGCTCGACGACATCCTGCCGCAGATGCTGGAACAGCTCAACGACCCAGACCCGCAGGTCGCTGACGCCACGCTCGACGGACTCAAACAGGTCGGCCGCTTTACTTATTTCCAGTCAGCCTTAACTATAACTTTTTATAAAATGTTAGCACTTTTCGATCATCAGCGGGTTTAATCAAGTATAAATATATTATTAAAATTATTAATGTTGATAACTATTCTTAATTTTTAACCTCAGTAAAAAAAGGGTACTTGTTTATATCGCGTAAGTAATAATAGATATGTCTGATTTTTTATATCTATAAATATATATTTGGTATTGCAACACCAAGTCATTGGTAGAAGTTAGGGATGCGCTTTTTTTAAGCTCGATCCGATATTTTGAATCGTAACGATCCCATGCATTTGAGCCGATTCTCTGAGGATCGATTAAAAAAATCACAGGGAAATACCAAATATAATTAATATAAAAAAAGATTGGGTATTTATCCTAATGTCCAAGAATGTGTTGTCAATCTGAAAGTAAATATATGTGTGTAAATATGTATGTATATATATATTTTGTAGAAATAATAAAAACGAGCTTAGGACCGACACACATAACCAAAATCGGCGGTGCCGCCCGCCGCTACGCAGTATTTTGCATAGTATTTATATAGATTTAGTAATATCTTTGGTTCAGGAACGCTCTTGTTTGTGGGATACAGGCGACGAAAGTTATAAAAACAAATTTATAAAATAAGAGCCATGGAAAAGAATTTGTAAAATCATTTATGTTAATTACAGCGAAAAGGACGCTAGTGAAATATCAAAACTGTCTAAGTAGTACTTGTATTTAAAAATCATAAGAGAATGGTTGCCCTACAGTACGGCAGTAGAACGCTTTGTCACGCTCCGTGGTGCGTTGCGTTGCGGCACGGTTATGTGTCCGACACACATAACCGTGCCGTTATCGTTTATTGACCCGATATTAACATACCTAGATTACATTGTGTGCAAACCACAATATTTGAATCGCGATCCGATATTTAATAGATTTGAATCGATCCGCGATCGGATCGCATTTTTTTTTTTATTCAAAAAAGACAACTGCATTAGGAATAAATCCTGTGTTGCGGGGGACTTTACAAACATACATGAAACGGACACAAAGAACACCCAGCCTCAGAACAACAATTTGTGGATCACACAAAGTGTCGGCCCATGTGGGGTTTGAACCCACAACACTCGGCGTAGTAGGAAGCGGCGTGGCGACCGCTTAAACCACTCCGCCATCCGTGCAGTCATTGTTTCGATCCGACCCGATTGGATCGTATGCCTAGCGAGTGGAAGCTACCTTTGTACTTCTCCTCGATTTATTATTAATTCAACGCTGGTTAGAACTCCGAGTCACATATTAATCTGTAACCAGATCGTGTCCACTGAAATGGAAGGAATTGAAATATATGAAAGGTGCCAAACCTGGCTATTTTTAGGGTAATCGAAAAGTGTATTATTTTATCAGATAATGGCCCTCAAATCCCGTGCGGTGTTGCCATACCTGGTGCCGGTGCTGACGGGCGGAGGGGCCGTGGACACGCGAGCGCTGTCGGCCCTGGCGGCGGCGGCGGGCGGCGCCCTGGCGCGCCACCTGCCGCGCGTGCTGCCCGCGCTGCTGCACGCGCTGGTGGCGGCGCGCGGACAGCCCACAGAGGCGCGCGAGCTCGACCACTGCCGGGACGCGCTGCTTCCCGTACTCGACCCGCCCGGAGTGCGCTGGTGAGTACCACCAGAGCGAGGGACGACACACCAATTATAAAGCGGCCCCTTATATTTTAGCTGTTCTGCCCTCGATCCAGCATAATAGTTAAAACCGAATTAAAGCACTATTAAAATGCTTATATCTATTTTTCGTCGTCGTTAACATTCTCAAAGTATAATTTGGTCGCCAGCATTATCGACACTCTTCTCGATTCGATTCGAACGACCGAGGGAGACAAGCATCGCGCTGCAGCGTCTCTGCTGTGCGCCTTCGTGTCCCACACGCGCGCCGACTTGGCGACGCATGTCCCGCAACTCATCCGCGGCTTGATACTGCTGCTGGCCGACTCCGACCGGGACGTGCTCCTCATGGCGTGGGAGGCCCTCCAAGCTCTCACCAAGACCCTAGACCCGGAGCGACAGATCGCTCATGTAAGCGATGTAAGGCAAGCCGTCAGATACGCAGCTGCTGACCTCAAAGGAGAATTGTTACCAGGATTCTGTTTGCCTAAGGTCTGTATTGACTTCATATTTAATAAAATAAAGAAACTGCTCCGACACAGGAAAAAGATTGCATTTGCGTGTTTTATTGAATATAATATTAATAAAAGCCGTTAGGTATAAATTTACAGCTGATCGAGTAACGTATCACATAATTTAGGACTAATTAGTGTTTTTTTTTTTTTGTTAGGGTATCGCGCCAATATTACCACTGTTCCGTGAATCCATTCTCAACGGTCTCCCCGAAGACAAAGAGAACGCCGCCCTTATGTTGGGCGAAGTGATTAAACTGACGTCAGCTCCCGCCATCCAACCCTCCGTGGTACACATCACCGGCCCGCTTATCCGTATCCTGGGTGACAGGTTCAACTCCAGTGTTAAGGCAGCTGTGCTTGAAACACTGGCCTCACTGTTATCTAAGGTTTGTCATAATCTAATGTTTATAGCTTATTTATTAGTTGGAGCAGGCACTGTTACTGGTTTTTTTTCTCTTATATTTTAGGTGGGAACGATGCTGAAACAGTTCTTACCACAGTTACAAACAACATTCCTGAAGGCATTGTACGATCCAAACAGGCCAGTCCGCATCAAGGCAGGCCTCGCTCTCTCACAACTTGTCATCATTCACACCCGAGCTGATCCACTATTCGTTGAAATGCACAATGGCATTAAGAACATCGAAGACCCGGCTATACGTGAGACAATGCTACAAGCTCTGCGCAGCATCATCACCGCTGGTGGAGATAAAATGTCCGAACAACTGCCCCTCCTCATCCTCGGCACGTTAACAAGTCCGGTGTTGCTAGCTCAACCTGATGAAACCCCCCGATGTGCTGTCGGTGGGTGCTTGGGAGCTTTATTGCACTGTCTGCCGGCCACACACCGTGACGCAGCGTTGGGCCATCATATATTAGGCGTCACCAATAGCAGTAATAGCGACGACTGGCTACTCACGCATGGTAGATCCTGTGCCCTTTTCGTTGCATTGAAAGAGACTCCTCAAGATGTGTACAAGGATCAGTTTGAAGAGAAAGTGGAGAAGACTCTGCTGAGTTACCTAGCAAGTGACAAAATATTAATTGCGTGTAATGGAATCAGGGGTATAGGGTATTTGATGAAGTATCTACTGGAAAATGATCGACCAGTCCCGCAGTCCATACTCTCGCAGTTTGTAAGGGTAAGTTGTTCGTTTTTTTTTCGTAAATATTATATTATTATTTATTTATTATTTTTCTACTTTATTTCTAAATGTTATAAATTTAATTTGTATTAATTCTAGATGTTACTATTAGTAATTATCATGAATTTCCGATATTTATAGTACAAATTTTGTCGTAACTGTGAAGGTTAACCATAGACAAAACTGTCAATACTTTTAATTTGTATATTGGAATAACAAATATCAACGCAAGGAATATAAACTATCTAATGTTACAAGACTTAATTAGAGTAGAAATATATCATTTAGTCATGATTTCCCATTCAGAGGGTGCTCCTCCAGAAGATATTGTCTTTGATATTGAGGAGAGTATTTGTCTACATCTTGTTGCAGTTTAAGGTCCACAGTTTCGTCCTTCAATATCAAGGCCATCTCAAAGTATTCTCTGTCCTTCTTACAGCTTACAGATGTTGGAATCTTTATAAAAAAAAACGCAAAGATTATTTAAAAATGCAAATTTAGTATAATTTTTCAAACATTACAACAAATACTCTGTTTAGTACAATATTTCTTTAACGTCAGTAATGTCACTACGATTTTTTTTTATGTCTGTCTTATCTAGTATTCCAGTTTATGCGAAATGAACAACTTCGAATGCTTACGCTTCCTTTGAAAAAATCTCAATGTCATTTTAACTTTGAATTTCTGTTCTCAAAGTATGTTTATTTTAAATATTGATCAAAATGAACATTATCTACCTCAAATGGTACTATTGAAATACATTTAGTGCGTAGATATTTTTTATACAGTAAAACGCGAAAATGGCTAGTAGGCTATAGACATGGAAATTATTGCAACCTTTAAATCATATTCATTTGATGAAATGATTAGTTTTAGTCACAGCGACTTCACATGTGATTGTGATTTTGTCATAGACAAAGATAAATGGCATTAAAATCAAGCAAAATTCTTTTTATCAAAGAATACGACCTATTTTTTAGATTGATACCTTTTGCGAGTCTTGCCTAATAAAAATTAAGTAGCAGTGATTTTGTAAATCAGTCAGGTGTTATTTATTAATCATATCATTTATTACATGTGATTGTGATTTTATTCCATCCCTAGTAGGCTATATATGGCATCTATGTCTGTGCAGAGTATGAACCACACGAGTAACGAGGTGAAGCAATTGATGGCGCGCGCGTGCACGCTGCTGGGAAGGTCGCGCGCGCTGGGCGAGGGGCCGGTGAGCGCCGGCGCGCCCGCCGCCGACGTGCTGCGCGCGCTGCTGCCCGCGCTCGTCAACGGCACCAAGGAGAAGAACACCTACGTGCGCGCCAACGCTGAGATCGCGCTCCGGGCCGTGCTGCGCTTACTGAACGATGAGACCTTCCATCTGGTACGTCTTCTGTACTTGTTGTAACCACTTGTATGTACAGTCCATTCGCGTTAAGAAAATAGTGTCACAAAAATGATGCATGCGCTCAAGTCCCGCACGCAGACCTGATCGGTCTCGGTATCGGTTCCAAGCTTTCTTACGAAATGAAAATTTCTTGGCACGTGATTGGTCAGGGGGCGGGGCTTTATCGTGATGGATCACTATTTTCTTAATTTGAATGGACTATAGTGGTGATAGTTTAGTAATGCGACTGAATTTACGAAAGAGCATTCGAACATTAATGAAAATGTAATTCTACTTTTTTTCTCTCCTCTTAATAACTCTTATTACTGGATGGATCTAAAACTCATAGCTAGTAGATACTAGCTGATTATGAAGGAGGAAAACGCCTACTGCTAAAACTTATCATGATTTATTTCAGACACACCACCAAGTATTGGATTTTATACTTTAACTACATACAGTGCAGTCTATTTTTATCCTCGAAACTTATTCTAACCTTCACACACATTCAGTTTGTATGTGGTTTTACATCCATTTTAGTAGCATTATATAGTTGGTCCGAAACACAAGCTTAACTACTTTAAAATTCAGCCCAAAAATGCGACAACACCAAAATTCTACATTTTTTCAACAACATCTCAAAGATACAGTAGGCTATTTGACTAAGTTTAGATTTTTTTTATAATATTCTATACGTGATATTGTACATAGTACATTAATATTTCCGGGTAATTAGATCTATTTATATTTAAAAAGTCGCTATTAAAGTTTAAATTTCTAAATCCACGGCAAAAACGGGCCCTGACGTCACATGCCAGTCACCTACCCAAGGGTGAGGGGGGGGGGGTGGGACAAGGCCCCAAGATCATGACGTAACGTAATTGATCATGAGGTAACGTAATTGACATAATGACAAAAAAAAGTGCTGACGTGGTTATAAAGTGACTTTCACTATTTTTGTTAAGATATATTAGATAAAATGACGTATAAATGGTGTGTAGTGTCAACATGTAAAAATACGTCTAAAACTACTCCACACAAACTGTTTGTTGTTCACCTTAATCTACGATTCAGTTTTGACACTAGTGCGGTGTGTCCAATCATATGACGTTCCCATCCGAGATAAAATTGATAATTTAAAAAATCGTTAAGTTTGCAAGTAAATTATGCTTTTCTATCCTTCTATCTAATAGGATGACCATTATTTCGAGAATATTTTCAATGTTGTCAAATAGCCTATTAGATTATCAGTCTAATCGACGAAACAATCGCTTCTTCGAAATCTGATAATAGTGATAATATTATTCATATCGTCGATCCGCATATATTTACAAATTGAATATAACATGTACATGACAGAATATGGTTCTTCGGCTAAAGCATTCGACTGGCAAAACCACCTCGGTAGTAGCCATTTAGTACATTTTTTTTATAAATTTGAAATCTGACCAATCATGTTGGCCAGTCATTCTTTTACGGTACACATAAATATCTATTTGCCTAGGTTTGAGTGTTTTTGTGTATGTATTTAGAAAATAAAATTTATCTAGGTAAGTTTGTTTTGGGTTGGTTGGATCTAGATAATGCTGGTCTACAATATATCATAATATATTACCGTATTAATAGGGTGGAAGCCACACACCGTATAGAAAACAAAAATAGATTTCGATTGTCTGTGCTCTTTTTTAGTTCAATTTTGTTGGTTGAACACAACAGTTAAATAGATCCTTTACCTTAAATTTTTTTTTTAATTCTTACACTCCATAAAGCGAGAGGAAAAGTAAATAACGGATATTTACCTTTGCAGTATTAAATTTTAAGTAAAACTATCTATTAACTCGTTATGTTACGGTATTCAACCAAGATCCTTTTACACCTTTTCTCTCACTTTCCTTCACTTAATAATATTGCATTTCTATGCAGCAATGCATGTCCCTGCTGGAAGAGGGTGCACGCGAGGCGCTGGCCGACGTGGTGGCGCGCGTGCAACGACGCAGTCTCGCCGACGGCCGCGACGAAGACCTGGACTGCACGCTGCTCACTTGAACTTCTAGCATTTATATTAATGTACTTCTTGTAAATATCAAATACATCTACGATGTCATACACAGGGCCTTGACTCACTATAATATTGTACTTTGTCTAATTAATATGAATTGAACTTTTAAGAATTTCCCATTGCATGTAATGAAATATATTATAGTAACCAATTAATGTTGTGAAACTTTATTTAAATGTTGTAAACGTTTAGATGTTGTTGTAGGTCCTAGTGGGCAAAGCAAGATAGCATTCTGATACTGTTGAAGTTATTTTTGTATTATATCTTTACCAAACCAATTTGTACTACACAATATTTAACTTGAACATCAGGTCCTTTAATTTTGCGTCAAAACATCTAATATTTTGTTAAATCCATACTTCTATACTTAAACTATTAATGTCAGAGTGAGTTTGTTTGTTTGTTACACTTTCTGACCTGAACCACTAAACCGATTTTAAACGGTCTTTCACCAATAGAAAGCTACATTATCAGCAAGTAACTATAGACTATGAACATCATTCTTGCAACATATCAAATGAGATAAACATGCATTTTTTATATGACATTTATGACATAATTATGACATTTATAGAAATGAAACATTTAGTATATAACTGACATAACTATATGCTACTTTGGATAGGTCATAGAGAGCCAAGGCCCAGGTGCTAGATGTAATGACTCGACTGCAACAATTAAATTTTAATAATTTCCAATAAGTACTGTAACAAATACGAATGTGTAATGTAAGCACATGAACTTTTTGATTGAACTCTTATCTGATATCAGTAGTTTTTCTGTACCTATAATATTAAATTTGAGGAATAAATGGAGAATTGTATGTTAACCAATCTTTTATTAAAGTCAAAACAACATCAAATGATAGATTTTTTTTTGACACAAAGTGTGTCAATATGTAATAAAGTAGACAAATATAAAATCAGTGCTATGTAAGTAATTGAAGGTATACCAGCATTCGATATCTACAATGATAAAACGGATTGAATTACCAAAAACATGCATTACCAGACAACATTACCAGACATACAACAGCACCATATAATGATGTTGCAATAGTCAACTTGATTACACAACTATTTATCTCAGTAATCTGTCATTTTCAAGGTTCCTTTTGTACTAATATTTACATTAAAAAAACTACAGACAGACATTCCAACTATATATAAACGTTATTTTCACTTATATATCAATACCAGGAATGTTATATAAAATGCTTCACATAAATAAAATGATATCCGACTGAATTATAATTCCTTATTATCCTTCTTTTTTGTAAACCCCCTGGCCTGAACCAGCTCATTGCACTCTTGACGGGATAGCTCCGATAGCAGGATACGTTCGAGCTCCCTATCATCGTTACCGAGCAGTACTAGTTCAGGGGGCGCGCCAGAGATGAATTTGACTTGTAAACGCTCGTAAAAGGGGGCGTCATCCATCACGAATCTTTTCACTTCTGGCAGACGATTTAAGGAGCATCCTCGACAGGTCTAGAACAAACAGTACAACGTTGTAGTGGCATGATTATATTATAACATAGTAGCAGTACCTAGCTTAAAGTTTAAAAAGATACAAGCTAAATCACTAACCTCTATTCTTGCAGAAATAATATCCGATTGTTCATACGCCGCTGCCGTGGCCAAAATAACACATAAAGTTACCAAGATTAGCTTCATTATTAGACTACTAATTTCAAAAAGTAAAATAAAATTCTGTTGTTAAAAGGCAACAACAGCTTCAGCTCCAGTAAAATTGTGACTAAAAGTCAAAACTAAATAGAAAGATGAAACTGTCATGAACAGTGTTGTCAAATCACGAAGTCATTTTCCCACTCATAAACTACTAAATATTTCCTTTCTTACGAAGAATCGTTTATGATTTTATTAAAGTTAAAACTTTTAATAATCTTAAAATAAGTGCAAGTTATTATTCAAATTTAAAAAAAAAAATACTAAAGGGTAAGATCTATAGCTTGCAAACTGCAATACTATTCATAAATAATGTTTGCATGACATTACGATTAGGGTTACTGGTTACTGATTAAAAAAGAAAAATGAATAATTTTACTGTATAATTTTCAGATTTGTAAATACCTAATAATAACCACCATAATAAGACTGCACTGACTGCAACAACACATAACTGCACAACTAACTGCAAGGTGCAGTGGAAGTGTATGCAAATGCTGTGCTGAGGTTTTGGCTTCGATTCTCTGATCTGACCAAATGTTTGTATGATCTACAAATATTTATTTCTGAGTTTTAATGTATGATATGTATAGATAGTTCAACTCAGTTGTGCGCGCGGCTTTATGTGTGCGTGGGCTCGTAAATATACAACTTTCATTCGTGTGGCAGTCGTCGTCCGACTGCCGCGTTACTGCCGCACACATAGGGCCGCGCGCACAACTGAGTTGAACTATCTATACCTATGTATTCATAAAATATATATATAATATATTATTATTATTATTATATAAATATATGTATATGAGTATTCTATCAGTCAATTTGGCTTTCATGTAACATTTTTTCGTAAATGTCGATGAGTATCGTATTCAGGTAGTTCATCAAAGTTCATGATAAATGTTTATCAAAATAATAACTAAAACCTAATATTCGACTATGCTAGCTGCCGCCATAAAGCGGCCTTGACTCGGTGCACGGCCGAGAGCATGAACCAAAAGTGTTTTGTGCCAAAGTGTTGCATTTATGTCAATAATAATGTTTACTGTCTGCTACAGATGTCGTACATTTTTTATAACAACACTATGAGTCTGTGGATTCTACATAGCCATGCCATGCCAGTGCAGAATAGTAGTTGAAATAAAACAGATAAACTTATTAAGATGATACCATCAGAGATTAATATCTAAATATAAAAATGGGTCACGAACACTGACTACAGATAGACACATGCCGTTTGATATTAATTCCTCCATATTGTTTATTAAATAATCATAAGAAATATTAAATAATTAAATAAAATTTCTACGTATTGTACTTAAGGTATTTTACTCCAGCTTAGTGCAGGTTCTTTTATTCAGTACATTTCTAGTTTATCATATAAAATTGAATGCCAATATTAGTTTATGTAATTACTAATCGCCTGAGTCTTAAATGCAAGACCTAGTTATTGAATCTTCTTTCGTTCAGGAAACCTAATGAGCCTAAGCATTAAATTGAAAAACTACTATCATCACATTAAATAAAAAGGGAAGATACCTTTATTTGTAATTGTCGCATCTGGCAATATTGTTGTTGACAATAATTTAACAATGAGTGATGTGATAAACAAGCTGCTGGATGCTGCACAGCGTGGTGTATTTTGCTGATACAGCTAATAAATAAAATAACAATTTGCATATTTAATGATTAATAATAGTAAAAGGTAACAGGAGTTACAAATTGTCGTCAAAATGGATGAAGAGCATGAAAAAGCCATCCAAAGGAACTTTACGTCGTTGGTGGAGAGAACTGATCTTGATTCAATGGTTACTGTTTTATATGAAAAAGGTGTATTTTCTGAACAAATGATCGAACGGTACCAGGTTAGTAGTTGTAGTATTTCACAACTCGTGTCTTATTGCCAATATTAGAATCATGGGTTTCGTAATTCGATATTAGATTCGAGTGTCATGTATTTAGTCTCATGTATGAGTCATACGAAAAAAACTCGTAAAAACTTAAAAAAAAAACTTTTAAACACTTAGTAAGGCATCGTTATACTTTCTAGTTTTTTTTTAAATATTTAACTTGTAAGTTTCTTATACCCAGAAGTAAAAAAAGACAGAATAAATTAACTTGTTATAACTTTTTTATTTAGTAAATCTAAGTATATGTTAAAATGATATGTGTTTGAGTTAATGACACTTTTGTTAGGCCAACAGATTGACGCAGCACGCAGCTTGATATGTACTACTTATTGCTAATGAATAAATGCAATAAATGCCAGCATATTATGCCAACACATACAGTGTTGGCATAATATGCTGGCAGAGCATTGCCCGTACATAACTGATAAAAAAATTCTTAATGAAACATAATTGTCATTACAAATCTTACAATACTAAATATACTGTACGGATGGCATAGTGGTTTAGACGGTCGCCATGATGCTTCCTACCATGCTGAGTGTTGTGAGTTCAATCCCCGCATGGGACAACACCATGATCCTCAAATCGCCGTTCTGAGTCTGGGTGTTCTTTGTGTCCATTTCATGTATGTTTGTAAAGTCTCCCATGACACAGGATGTATTCCTATTGTGGGAGTTCTATTTGAAAAAATATAAAGGGTATTGATTTACATGATATAATATATCATAGAATGTGAAATTTAAATATAATTGTTAAATACCTTTTTCCTTATATAATTGCTATTGTTCTAACTCCTAGAGTTACTATTCTGGGCCTGTTGGCCTAGTGGTTTATCTATTTGATTTATGCGTAATTTATCTGTAATATGTATGTATTTAGAAATATATAAGTATGTTTATCAGCAGTCTGGTTACCATAGCACAGGCAGTACCTAGTTTGGGATCAGCCGTGTGTGGAGATGTGTGAGGTTATTATTATTATTGATGAGTGCCTATTTAGATTAGATTTTAGTTGACAAAAGGTACAGATATACATTTAAAGCCACAAAGATATGATTGCTTGGCTATTATCTTAACAGTTTGTTTACAATTACACCATTTTCTTTTACAGAACCCTAATAAATCAAGTCGAGACAGAAAACGTCAGCTCTATAGAGACATAACACGCCGAGGACCTCGTGCATTTGGACACCTTGTGGATTCTCTCTCAGAACTGGGTCATTGGGATATAGTGAGAGAACTAGACCCTAACAGCCCATTTGCCACCTTCCCTAAACCATCCAGCTCTTCAATGCCAAGTTAATATTTTTTTCACACTTATGTAAATAATTTAATGGAAATGTATATATGTATGTAAGATAAATTATAAAGTAATGCATGTATAGCCCTATTCATATAAATTTATTTCATGCTTTATATAATACACTAGCTGACCCGCGCAACTTCGTCTGCGTCTCTCAATAGTAATAAATTTTCTCCGTTTTTGAAACATTCTTCATTGGTGCTCCGCTCCTATTGGTCTTAGCGTGATGATATATAGCCTAATAGCCTTCCTCGATAAATGGGCTATCTAACACTGAAAGAATTTTTCAAATCGGACCAGTAGTTCCTGAGATTAGCGCGTTCAAACAAACAAACAAACTCTTCAGCTTTATAATATTAGTATGTATCAAATTATTAGTAAAATGTATGTATCATGAAAAATTATTTTTTAGTGTTGGTATAATATGCTCATGAGGTACATTTTACATTTCACACAAAAAATTTATGATTTTATTATTATTACAGAGAGAGAAACAAACCCACAGTCGAGTAAAGACAGCCAGTATGTTAGCCTCAGCAATGAGAAAAATAAAACAAAAGAGATGCAAAAAAGTTAGTATTACACACACTAATACATTTTGTTGTACACTGTATAAGTTATTGAACTTTATAAAATATTCACATCAACTGCCTTTATAGTCCACTGCTGGGCATGGGCCTCTCCTTAGAAAGGAGGTTTTGGCCTACTGTACTACACTGGCCAGACGAGTTGGTATAGGGTTTGCTTCATGTTTTCCTTCTCTTTGCAGTGCTGTTGTCCTGCGTAGTTTGTTCCCTTAGTCGGCTCTTACGACACCCATGGGATGAATAGTGTACGAAATTATAAATATTGGTGTAGCGAAATAAAACTGAAACTGAATAAATGGCCTTATACCAGTTTAAAGCTTAGGTCGGTAGGATGCAAGTATCATAATTGTTGTGTTGGTAAAAGTATTAACTGTACTATATGTAGTGTTTTCATAGAGATTTACTAAAGATATCGATGGAAGTGGCGGTCAATGGGAGATGGCCTATGTCCAGCAGTGGACTGCCATAGGCTGATGATGATTACAAAATATTGGGTTTTAAAAAGTGTATCCAAACCTAAACAATTTTATAAACAAGTTTAGGTTAAAAAAGCTTACACTTATCACAAAGTTAACTCTGTCAAGTCACCTTTAAAACAGAAAGTGAATTATTTAAAATTGATCAGAAGGCCAATTCTCGTATTAAAAGTTCGGTCACAATTCAGTTATTGTCGTGGTAAAGTATTAAACATCCAATGTTGACTGTAATGTGATTATATCATAGTGTAACCGAAAATTGAACTTTACTAGTTTACCACGAAAATACCTTTTATGACAGTTGTGAGATCGAATGTTGATCCGAACTTAATTGTGACCAAATTTTTAATTCGGGAATTGGCCTTCTGAACGTTTAAGATGATAAGATGCCCCAGACAGAGACACAGGTATTAGGTATTGACAAGCTGAGACCCGCGGTGTTACCCGCGTTTGTTGTTATAACCGCGGGCAACGCCGCGGGGCGAAGCTAGTCTAAAAAAAGTAGCCTAAGTTACTCCTTATGTCATCAGCTATCTATCTATCAAAGTCCCGTCGAATCCGGTCCAGCCGTTCCAGAGATTACCCGGAACAGACAGACAGACAGACAAAAATTGTAAAAAATGTTATTTTGGCATATGTACCATGTAAACATACATATGCATTTAGTAAAAAGCGGTTATATTAATATTACAAACAGACACTCCAATTCTATTTATTTGTATAGATATCACCTGCTAACAAAGTTGATATCAAAGCATTCAAAATTATACTTTAACACTTTGTTTTAAAGTTCATCATTATGTGTTGTCCGTGTGGTGCCGGATTGAGAATACAGTGTCACCACCCCTATTCATCCCGTGGGTGTCGTAAGAGCCGACTAAGGGAGAAAACTACGCAGAACAACAGCATTGCAGAGATAAGGAAAACTAGACACAAACCCTACACCAACCTGTCTGGCCAGCGTGGAATAGTAGGCCAAAACCTCCCTTCTAAGGAGAGGCTTATGTCCAGCAGTGGGCTGTTAAAGGCCGTTGATTATGTGTTGTGTTATGGTTTTTATGTACGTAGGTACACAATTCTCGTTCATTACCCCCATAGATATTATTCCATATGTTGAGTATAGTGTGATGTGTAGGTGCTGTACCAGTAGCTGCGACTGCGCCGGTAGACCTCGACAACGCTGCTGCCAAGATGCCGGTCATCCCGGAGTTTAAAGTCATCAAGTCCACCAGGTTTATGGATCACGACGGTAAAAGTGGTTGGTTGTTTTAATCAGTTTTTTAGTTATCGACTTAACTAAAAGTCGATACGAACAGAAAAATATCTTACGAACTTATCGCAAACGGAACAAAATATAATTGCATTAGTGTTTTATATTTTAGTGTTGATAAGGACTTACCTGACAAACCGACTTCCAGACGTGGTCTGAGTTCCCTGGTTTTAGAGGAACATTACATAAATTCTACACTAAGGAGTAATAAAAAGCCCCATATCTGACTGTAGCCTCAAGATTGCCTGGAAATTATTGTATTCAAAAACAGCTATATAGCCACGCCAATAGTTTTTCACTGCGACTGCTCCTGATTCCTGCTCCGTGAGACGCAGTGAGAAGCGCAGAAGATTGTGGAAGTCCAAGTAAACATGTATTTTGTTTTTGTCACTATAGATCTGGAGTTATATCACACCCGTAGTCGCGATCGCGGAGTCCTAATGGTGCTAAGCTACATCAATTTCCAAAATAACATCGAACAGATCCGCGCTGGCGTCGACGTGGACTGTGCCACACTGAAGCACTTATTCCTGGAAATTGGATTCGAGGTTATTTCATACCCGGATCTTACCAAAGAAGTAAGTAAATAATAAATACAAACATTTCACTAGCATATTGGTCGAGTGATCGTGTTTGCTAAGCCAAGACTTCTTGATTCGATTCCCACTTAGAACAAATAATGTGTATTTGGTTTTATATATATAATGTTCAAGACCTTTTTGAGGAGTTTTCCAAAAACAATTAAAAATATTATGCTTCTGCATCTGTGGGCAGCGGTCCACTTCCTGTCTGTTGTGACCATTATCTATGGACATGTCCATAGATAATGGTCTACATAGTCTATGGCCTTAATAAAATTGATTTTTTTTTCTTCCGCCTTGGTTACAGCAAAGCAATGTCTTTTTCTAAGGTTCCTCTTTTAATTATTAAATAAAAGTATTAAATGAAGTTCATTCCAATATTAATACCCCTATATCATGAAAAGGAAATTGTACTGTAATTTGTGTGTGATCTTTCAGCAAACCCTAAATACACTGAGTTCGCTGGAGGTTGTCCTAGAGAAGGCCGAGTGCGTATTCCTGGTGGTGTCGTCCCACGGCTACGAACGCTACGGCACTTCGGACATCGACATCCGGTGCAGCGATGGACAGCTCATCTCCTTCCTAGAAATCATGACCTATTTCAGCAATAAGAGTCTACCCAAACTCATTGGAATACCGAAAGTCTTAATCTTCCAGACGTGTAGGTAAGTAAGATGCATACATACTCACGTCTGTGTTCCTAAAAGGGTATACAGAGATATATTTTTTTTTTTCTTGGCCAATCATATTTTAGTGTTACTTACGTATTAATGGTAAGCCTATAGCCGAAAATGGATTAGATGAGAAAATCGGCAATATTTAAATAAAAAACAGGTAGATTCGAGGATTACAGGCAATAGTAGGTTTCCTTTTTCAAATAAATGAAAACTAATAATTAGACTTTCAGGTTTGTCAAATATTAAGGATCATACTTATGCATTTTCGATTTTGGATATTATTGACTATTGTAAAGATCTAAAAGAAACATTCTATAATTCTGAATTTAAATTAGTTTTTGAAGTGAAAACTTCTTTAGCGGCGTTGTACACTTTTTTTGTAATGGGTAAAAAAATTTAAACTCGTGTCAGGACACGTGACCTGATCGAAAATTCGTAAGACGGATGGAGAGTAGACAGCCTGTGCGGCGTAGGAGAGGAAGTATCCCCCTCTCTTTCTACGGCGCGGCGAAAATGTATGCCTGCGCCTGCTGTTTCGTTTCGGCGGCGCAGGGTGCTTGCGCGAATGTTCGTGTATGTTTATGTTACAGCGTGCCACGAACGTCCATGGATGGTGACAGCGTCTCGATAAATTGTCATGTTCGTGTACGATAGCGCAATAAATAAATATTGTATTCTAACACACAAATAATAGTACTTTTATACTGATAACTAAAGCAATTCGTGCAAAAATGCACAATGTTAATATTCAAGTTTTCACTTCTGCCGGCACTCCCGGAGTGCAAACCGTCGTTTTTTTTTTCTTAAATATGTTTACGACATTTTTTATTAAAAAGTTGTTCATGAAGCCAGTGAGTGCACATTATTGGCAACCCCACTTTCCTTCTCATGGAATTCCAGCTTCAATGCTAATAGGCAGAAACAAAACAATATAAAGGTACTCTTACTTCTTACTACTGTACTACTGTATACAGGTCTACAGTTTTCTAACAGACAGAAGCCTCTATTTAGGTCATAGTCAGCGGTGCATGTTCCCGAATCCCTCAATTCTGCTCTCGCTCACACTGTTTCTTTTGCATGCTATTGCTTCCGCCAACATTTTTCGGGAAAACGTCACAAATAAATTAATAAATGAAATTAATGTCTGAAAAAGAAAAAGTTTCAGATCGGTGTCGACCTAATCTTGTCCAACTTTACCCAACGAATAGGTTTGCGTGTTCACCGCTAGAAAGATATCGTAGTCTGTTGCTCTACCGGTTGTTTTTTATATCATAAAAAAAATAGAGGAGAAAATAAAAACGGCGTGAGGGGTCTATGGACCCCCGTTCGGAATGAATTTCCTTACGATTTTTGCTATATAGTCATTAAAATTTATATTATAAAATATCAAGTTAATTATGTTAAATTGAAAAAATTATGATAAAATATATTTATTATGTATAAAATAAATAATGATAAATTAAACACTAAATTAAGTTAATAACAAAAAAACCGAAGAGAAGAGAGCCGTTAAGTCTTTCGGCTGTAATAGCAAGGAGTGTCGGAAAAAAGTCTTCGTTCCAATAATGAACAAAAGGTAGAGTATTAACTAGTGATCGTGTCGTGTTTCAGAGGAAGTAACGAAGAGTACGTGCTGTCGAGCGAGCCGACGGTGTCGCAGCTGCTGATGCCGGGCGGGGGGGTGCAGCGCGACGGGTCGGCGCGTGCGCGGGGCCCGCCCCCGCCCCCGCCGCGCCCCAGCGCCGCCCCGCGCCTGCTGGAGACGCCGCTCTACTCCGACATACTCATCGCGCACTCCACGCCACCGGGTCGGTACTCGCTCTCGTCTGGCTCTATCTAGGTTCTATTATAGGCTTAAGGTTATTATAGTAGTTAGCTAGTAAATTTTATGTTTGTTAATGTCTGTTCGATACGATTCCGATCCAGTATAGTATAAAAATAAAGTCCAAAGGCAAAAGTCAGTGAAAATAAAGTAAGTTATATCCTATAAGTAAGATTCCTTATTAAATCATAAGGCCTGTGCAGACGCGGGATTTTTGTTTCCAGTGAGAAACTAAAAATATAACTGGAATTATCGTTACATAAACGACTGTTTTTTTTATGTATTTATAGGCCAACAAAATATTTTAAAAATTTCCCATCAATACGATTTGTAATTATTAAACAAATAAATAATGAAAACCCTCTTCTCTTTTCCAGGTCAAGTCTCGTACCGAGACGGCGGGTGTGGCTCGTGGTACATCCAGGTGCTGTGTGAGGTGTTCGCAGAGCGCGTGCACAACACGCACGTGGACAAGCTGTTCACGCTCGTCGATATGCGCATGCGCGAGAAATTCCGCAGACAGACCTCCTCGGTAGAAAGGTGGGGCTTCAACAAGCGCCTGTACTTACACCCCGGCTTGTACGAGTGAAGGGTCATAAACAAGTACAAACATGTCAAATAGACACCATGCGTTGTCAAATAACTGTGAAAAAATGTCACCTGTGATATTCATGGATCGATACCACCTTAATCTCACGGCGTGGCGTCCATGAGAGTCGATAGTCACCACCAGGGGACCCCTCTGCTTGCTTGGACCCTCGTAAAAAATGTTTTTAAGCGTATTCATAAAACATTGAGTGTTTATTTTCAAACATTTTAACACACGCTTTAATTAGTGCCACTAGTATGTAACGAACTATGTAAACAAATAGTGGAAATCTATTTTAACTTGATTGTCCTATCGAAGTGATAATTTGTATGTAAATGTAGTTTGGATGACTATAATTTGGCATCGTGAAGTTGTTATGGTGATGGAGCCAGAAGATTGATAGTGATTTTCTTCAGTGGCCATAAGAGAATCCTCGTGAGTTTGAGCTCATATGAGTTGGTTATACGTAAAAGATTGGGCTTGGTAACCTTGGTCTGATAATGGAGCCAGAAGGTACATGGTAGAACTCTTTTTAATTCTGTTAATTTTAATATTTAGTTAGCAAATTTAATGTAAGTTAAAGCATGTTTTTAATTCTATTAAATTGTAGTTATTTGGTTTCTGTTCTTTGTTTAAAATAATTGTTTACAAAAATATCAATACATATCGATGTCATATGTGTGATAGGATAGAGGAAGGCCATCTCAGCAAATTTAAGTAATTGTATTTGCCAGTTATTAGACCCATATTTTCTAAATCGGGTCTTTGAACAAATTCAAATGAAAAAAGTATTAATTAAAAAAGACGTGTGTAGGACTTAAAGGATGTGATGAGTCCTCTACAGTTGTGAGTGTTTATAGGCTACGGTAACCGCTTACCTCCAGGCAGGCCATTTGTGTACCACCAACATGTTATAATTAGTGCACAGATGGCGTAGTGGTTTAAGCGGTCGCCACGCCGCTTACTCCTACGCTGAGTGTTGTGGGTCCGAACCCCACATGGGGCTACACTTTGTATGATCCACAAATTGTTGTTCCGAGTCTGGGTGTTGTTTATGTCCGTTTCATGTATGTTTGTAAAGTCCCCCGCGACACAGGAATGTATTCCTAATGCGGGAGTTGTCTTTTTAAAAAAGAAAAGAAAGTTATTAAATAAATGCAGTGTTAGTTGGTTGTGTTTTGGTGTTTCTCCTCCAATTTCATTTACACCTTGCAGATTTATGACTGTTTAAACAAAATGATGACCTAAATCCATTTTTTCTGTTTTCGGTGTGCTGTTCCTTACACCTTTACTTAAAAATGAACAATAACAAAATAAGTGTATATTATGCTCAATGTTTTTATTTATAGCCAATCATAATAATTTTTAAAACTGTTGTATATATTTAAGTTTTGTAATCACACTATCTAAGAGGTAAGTCCACTGCGTTAATGTAGGCCATAGCTGTACTGAGGTATTTACACAATAATGCCTATTATAATAATAGAATAATATAGTATTATTAGGAATTGTCTTTGTATAGTAAGTGAAAAAGTCATTAAATATAATGTGTATGTAGCGAATGTAAATATAAATGTAATGTGTTTGTATGTTAGGTACGGTTGTATTGGGTCATCCAAACCCTTAGGTGTCAAGCTAATTAATGAAAAGAAAACTAAAACTCGACTGCGTGAAAATGTATATTTAGACAAACCGCCAATTTTAATTTTTATAATTGTCATATCTAAGTGTCACTCTCACAATCAAGAGGAATCTAACGACCTCTAACGCCTAAACCTAACAAGCAGGTTACAGAGCATGTCAAAGAGATATACATACATACAAACACACACTCGAGAAACATAACTAACCCTCATTCGTGCGCAGTCGGGTAAAAAGTTACCCTATCGTGGTATTATGATGCATTCGGTTACCATATCTGTATCGAATAATAATTTGACTAATCGGTAATATTTTAGTCAACTTGTAGGTAACTTCATCTTGTGACAATAACTGTATGCTTTGTACTGATTGGATAACTATAAATAGTAGACAAACAGCACAACTTAAGGCAATTGATACTTATGGGTGTCACAAAAAGGCCTTACTTTAGGGCTATATACTTCATTAATAATGTCCAAATAATTATAATTAATACAAAAATCATATTTTGAAACTTTGAACATGAAAATGATTTGATATACTTGATGTTATATTAAGAGATTTATGTGGAAACTGGGTATTTAATGCTAAGGAGGTAAATAGAACAACCAGATTTATCTGAATATAAATGTACAACTATATTAGAAAACATAATTTACTCAATTCAATCAAACTTTTTGTAACACCCGTGTGAATCACATTGCATGCTGTCTTTTGGTATGCATTGTCACCTATTTAGATATCTTAGTTCAAATTAGCCCTATCTATAAGCTTTAGTTAAATCATCAAACTGTGGTGCTAAATTTTTTGAACCTATTTTTAAATTTAAGAATTTTTGATGACGGTGATACTGTTATGTAAGTTTGCCATATTCTTTACATGCATTTATTTTGTAACACAGTACAACATTATGCTGTTTAAATTCTGATCTCTTTACAAAATCTAGCTCTTCCAATAGTCTATAAAATAACTGTCAATTCGATAAGAGTAACCAATATAAGTATTGTATAATATGTATATTACTACTAAGTAGTACTATAAGATAATAATTTTATACAAATAAAACATATATTTTTAATGCAGATAGTTTTATTACTTCTTACATCATACAAAAATAGATAAAACATTTGATGACAACAGAAACGGTACAGCAAGTGCTGGGCTCTAGTCATCGAAACGTTATGGGTACACAATAATCATTAAGGAATTCAGAAGAGCCTGCCGTCACTTGCAACAGATCGCAGCTCAAAATGGAGGTTACAAGGGATTCTCTTTAGCACCGCTACTTATTCTTCCAATTACCTTACTGGTATCCTGGCCAGCGACTTATGTTGTTGATGATGTCAGTCTAGACAGACAACTGTTGGAAGTAAAGTCTTTCAAGTTTGGTGCCGGCATGTTTATTTTTAATGCGTTTTTAATGGTTTCCTTGGTTTTACTAAGACTCCAGTTTTCACATATTAATATGAGAATTGTAGAAGAAATAAAAGTACAAAATATTATGTATACTAGGTTTAGAGAACATATGCCTGGATGGATTGGATATAATGTAGTGGATGTACCTACTTTTTGGACACCTAACCTTGTTAGTTCACTACTATGTAGTAGTAGTAGATTGGAAGCATAAAGATAATAATTAAGTTATATAAATAAATGCTGCTCACGAGACATTTCACAACACATGCACTCAGGGAATGTCTTAGAAAAATATATTATTTTTATCCCTCCATATTTTAATCTCAAACATCGAATTATACCACGAACGTTACTAGAGGACCCTCCAACCATCAAATATCACATCAAACTTGTATTTTATCAGCTATTACTGTAATACGGAGCTTTAGAGACAGCTATGCTCTGTGTCTGTTTAATGTTACTACGCCTGATTTAGGTAAAGGGTCCCACCTCAATGTCGATTGTAAAGGCAGTTTCCAATGTTGTTAATTGTCCCGTTAGCTCGCCATCTCTCAATATCCATATTTATCAGCCTTGTTCGTCATTAGTTCAGAGTTCGCGCACTATCGGTCGGACACGCTCACGACGAGCGCACTGAGCTTGCTCAAGTTGAGCCACTGGCGCACGCAGCGCTGAGTCTTTCCGCTTCGCACGTATCCGTCGCACTGGCCCATTTCTACAGGATCCCCCGCAAATTCGCGTTTGAAGAAATCGGCGTATTCGTTCATCTTCTCCAGCCATCGCTGCATGGGGTTCACAAGAGAGCTTTGATACAGCCAGTTGAGGACGGATGTCTTCGACCACCACGGTTCAAAAGATTTCCAGTCGTATACGACGATAGCGTCGTACCAGTTTCGTTTTGTTACCTTATTGACCTGGTATTTAGTCCACTTCGTGCAACACTTGACAGTATTAAGGACGGACTCTTCTTCCTCAGGTTCGTCGAGGGGCACGTCTAGTGTAGCATTGTTCAGGTAGGGAGCGAGCTCCGGTAGCAAACTGTACGTTATAATATTTGTATCAAGTGGGGTGACAGTATTGAGCGAGCCGCGGGAGGCGATGAACTGCAGCACCGGCAGCCATGCGTGGGAGATCATGAGTGTCGAAGTAAGGAAAGTCACGAGGCTGGTGAGGTAGCCGGCGCAGGCGGTGGATACGGAGGTGAGCAGGTCGCCGAGCAGGGCCGCGTCGACAGTGGCCGCCAGGTCGCCGTAAGTGAAGAAACCGCGCAGTTGAGCCTGTCTAAGAGCTACTTGTCGTTCTAACCACAGCAGCCCGGCCTCAAACGATTTATCGCTCACAAACACTTTCCAATCCTGGGAAACAATATGTTTGTTATTAAGGACTAACTGATTTATGATCCATACACTAACAATAGTGTCCCTACATCTATATATGAATATGTTACATGTTTATAATTCTACAAAAAATATTTCTAAATTACAAACAGTCTTCAATAAGGTATTATAGAAAAAAAAAAAACAAACCCTGCATATTGAAAAGTCGCAACCATGAAGGTCGGTTAGCGCAGTAAAGAGAAGCCTGTGTTTTCTCAATAATATAATCAAACTGTCTCAATACAAAATTTCATTAAAATCTGTTTAGCGGCGAAAGTGTAACAGACAGAGTTACTTTGGCATTCATATTAGTAGGGATTTAATATTTTTTAACTAGTTTGGTATTATATTTATCGAATTACGACTGCGGAATGTAACTTCTCCAGAATGATTTATAATGCGAATATGCAATATATGTACAAAAAACCACGTGGAACGCAATAGCCGCCCAAAGAGTCACCAACTAACTTTCTTCAATCGTTAGAACCGACAATTTTTAGCTTTAAGCTACATGGTGCCGGAAAAGTTTTAACATTATATTAAATTCGGTGTCTTTGATCAAACAATGTCATGTCATGCTGATCATTTGATAAAGTGAGCAATTTTATTTTTAGAGGGTTTTGGCCACTCTATTTCAAGAAATTATAATATAGAGATGTGAGTTACATCCACTCTTTTTTTTAGTGCGGAAATCCCCTCGGATACACATACCGGTGGCTATGTCGGACTCGAACCGACTAAAAACAGCACGCCGTCTCGGGTACCAGTAGCCGGGGAACCAGATGTACCCTAGTAAGGAAATCCCTGGTACAGTTACATCCCCCCAAAAGAATGATTTATCTGGTTAATAGCCAGTAGATGAAGATTATCAGAGGGGCATGACTGATCTTTGTAGAAGTCTTTGGAAAACTATGTTCAGCCGTAGACAGAGTGATTTGAGAAATAAATTGTAGACATTCCCCAGTTTTATTCGAAACTGGTTATGCCAATATAGATACAACTTACTATAGCATTAAGGAATTCCACTTCTAACTTCTTGAGCTGGTTGAGCTCTAAGCCGCCCGAAGCCGCCCATTCGGAGCATATCACGTCATCGTCTTCACCATCGTCTTGCAAGAACTTGTTGCCTACCATCTGCAAATGGTGCAACGAAAATATAATACATATATATATTTAGAGATAACTCCTGCACTAGGAATATATCCTGTGTCGCGGGGGACTTTACAAACATATATATGAAACGGACACAAATAACACCCAGACTCAGTACAATTTGTGTATCACACAAAGTGATATCCCATGTGGGGATCGAACCCACAACAATCAGCGCAGTATGAATCGGCGAGATGACCGCTTAAACTACTACGCTATCCGTGCAGTCAGCGCACATATTGTATTACTAGCTTTTGCCCAAGGCTTCGCCCGCATGTATGTCGGTTATGGCGATGAAAAGCAGCCTTTGTTACTCGCTGATAATGTAGCTTTCCATTAGCAAAAGAATTTTTAAATCGGTTTTGTGGTTTAGGCGTGAAAGCGAGTAAGCGAAAGCGAGCGACAAACAAACTCATTTATTATAACCCGGCAATCTCGTGCGCGACCGTCCCGCGGGGTGACAGACAGTGGTGGGGGCGAGGTAGCGCGTCATTCTAGCACACGGCTACACACGAAGAGAAGCGTTTCCCTTCCCCACTACACCCCCCACTACCAGCTGACATCTTGAGTACCTCGTCCCCGCCACTGTAGTACGACGTATGGATATTTGAAATAATGACGAGAAAACTAATTTTATTTAAAATGCATTTTCACAAAATAAGAAAGTTGAGAAAATTATAAATAACCAATGGTATAGTGCAGTCGCGGAGCGGAAAGAATTTCGTTGTTGTAATCCTTTCTCTGTCCCTCGCGCGGCAATCTATTGCCGTCACGCTCGCGCCGACGCGATGACCGTTGTGTATGGGAATTGTAAACTTTTTGGTTGTTACAAAAAGTTCTGCTTTTGGTCATTTGATATTTGGTTCGCCATGCTATTGCATTTTATATTCAAATAACAACGTTACTCCGTTTTTACAAGATTTAAATGTTATTGTGAAACAAGTAATAGTAAAATAATAATTTTCTTATTTCATAAATAATTACTACATTTTAATTTTACTATAAAATAATTATGATTAGCATCACATTTAAGAACCTTGAATCACATTGAAGAGACTGCACGATATGGCGTCAGAGCGTTGACTTTGTGTATACACAAGGGTACACATACCGAGTATAGTCCATTTATGTAACTTAATTTAATACATAAATTAAATTACACATATTCTGTTTATTTTATGTATTCAGTGTGACAATATTTAAAAATTCTATTAACCAAATGCCCAATCTAGTCTAATTGTGTTATTCCTAACCTAGTGATAATCATATCAACCCATATTTTCAATAGTCAGTCAGTTAGATAGTCAATTTAAATCATGTCAACCCATATTTTATATTAAGTCGAGAGCATGCAAATTATTTGACATCATTACCAAAGAAACAAGGAAGAGATCAGCGGGTGCGGCGTTAGCGATGTAGTCAGGGTTACAGGCGTTGAGTCGTTCCAGGTAGAGGATGGCCAGCACAAGAGCGCACGGCGACACGCAGGCGCTCCGGGCGATACTCGCCGCAGCGTCTGCGTGCAAACGCCGCAGAGATCGCCCGCGTTGAGACACCGACCACAGCTCACATGAGATTTCTGTAACAGTTAACATCTTGGTATAAATTTAAAATAATTATTTACAAACACATATTATTCTTTAGTTAAATACTTTCTCTACAACTTAAGTAGACATTACCAATCTGAATGTGTAATTAAAATTTTAATTCATTCTTGGAAACTTTCTTTTCTTTATTGTTTGCATTGCAATATTGTTCATATAATTTTCCTTACATTGATAAAAGAAAAGTGACGTATTACTTTTCTAATAAATGAAGACTGGAAGCTAAAAATACTCTTATACTAAAATAGAAGTAGAAAAAAAAGAACTAAGACTAATATGCTCTAACAAAGCTCTGATGAATTATGAGATGTTTTTTTTTTTAATTTCAAGTATTATAATGTTCATATGGATCATACCAGTAACAGGAAGGCTCAGACTGGGTAGAGTTGGCAGCTCCCCATAGTACAGGGTCTTGGTGATACGCTTCAGGAACTCTTTGTGGTCACCCATACTCTATTCAAAAGACTTTAGATGAGCTTTTCCTTTTCATTTTTAATTTACAAGGTGGAGTGGATGGTTTTGGGTAGGTAGATAAACTCATTGGTTAACAAAATAATAGTTCTTAAATGTTTATATATTATTGATGTATATATAATATTTTATGGCCTACTAATGCCATTAAGCATGTATGTCACAGTTAATAATAACAGCTTTGAGATAATGCACAAACTTGTTTTAACATAATAGCCAAAGCATACACTGTTAATAAAAAAATTGTAAAACTGAGTTATGTTTCTGTCTAAATCTATAAAAATAAGCAATGTTCACAATGGATGTCACTCTATGGGTAAATTAACTATAGCAGAAAAATAGTAAAAGGGCATTTTTTTAAAAATGAATGTTCAGTGTGGTAAATAAAAAAAAAAGCCTGTGGTTCCAAGTGATACAGAAAACTTGGTAATATTAGCAATCTGATTTGGCTTAGAAGTACTCTCAGAGAAGTGCAGCCACTTGCATGGGCTATTCTCGGTCCCTCAATCATGGGCAAGTCTTACGAATCCAGGATAGGTTTTAATCAGGAAAGGTCTAACAGAGCCTTTGTTCTCCAAGAGTAGAGAACATCTAAGATCTTTCATCCCATCAACAAAACCCCAACACCCGCTCAACAAAAACAAGGCTGACCACAATAAAATACTGATCATTGATAGATAAGTAGAGACTGAAATTCCTACCAAAACTCTTAAGTAACATTAATAGCATCCTGGCAAAAAATTTGCCTCCATAATACAATATCAATCAAAACATAAGGCAATGACATGTTGTTGTCACTGCCTTCGGTACTATGCTGATAGCGAATGACGTATAATATATTGGCCTTGGAACTGACTGTGTGTCACTAACAATATAATATTTAGGTTAAATTGGTACCTGTTTGATAGTTATAACTATAATGCTATATTGTTTAACTCAATAAAGAATGCTCTATTTGTTTGTAGAGAGCGGGAAGAAAAGCCTGTTTGTCTTAAATAACATTGATCAAATAATATGCTGGCCGACAGAAAGCTGGTCACGCACGGCTGATAAGATTTAAGATGTGTAATAGTGAGTATTGATTGTGTATAGCTTTACTTGTTGTAATATGCTTACAAAGTATTGAAAAATGGTTATATCAGATAATGAGAACACAAAATATCGTAGCGGTCGCCGACAAAATCTTATGAACGAGCAGTCACGACGTGACCTCTTTTTGTACCTTTATCTTGCTCCTCGAACCCTCTCTTCTTCTCTTTGAAATATTCGACATAATCACACCTTGTACTGTAAATCCACAATTATTTTATTTTGTTTGATACAATTATTATAACGGCAATTTACATTAAATCGGGTTTTGCGCGGAGAATGCCCTGTTTTTGTTTAGTGTTTCAGGTCATGAACATGAAAATATTGGTGCATGTGTTTTAGAGAATTCTATGTCAGTAAGTGCGAAAGAGATATGTTAATATTGTAATGCAATAATTCACACAGAACTTTTGGGGTTTGACAGATGCTGTTTTATGGATACTGGTATTTTGGGTTATGGATTTGGTAAACATTGCAAGATGACACTTAATGACAAATGCCACTGTTAGAACAGCTATCACCACGAAAATATCATTGCAAATATTTCATCTTTTTTCGTTAACAAACCTTCAAATATTTGTTTCTTTTTACAAACACTTGTCTACCCCAAAGGGGAAAGTCTTGCTCGTGTGTAAATACAATTGGCAATGTTGACTGTTGACATTTGAGTATACTTCACAACTGTCAAAACTGTCAGAATCCAGAAAGTCAATCCGACGGCTTCTCGTTCAGCTCAGAGCGATAGCGATTACCACCTCGAATATATACAAAGCACATCACGAAATAATAAAACAGTTGAAAACATTATGCACGTGCTGACTGTGATAATATTGTGTTAACGTTATAATGAGCGGACTAGTAATATAGCACCAAGAGCGTGGGTTTGCGGTTACTCATGTCATTGATATTGATTTCTTTTATTTTGCGAGAGAATGTTTTAAAAATGATAAAAGCGAAACTGTGAGAAATTGTGACTTAGTAAAAGTGGTTGTCGTAAAAACAATGTTTGGGGTCGAACAGAGTGTGTGATAATGTACGGACAAAATGAAAACTAAGAGCTTTTTGCTGTTCTCAACTTCTGTGTTTGCAATAAGTATATTTCTGATAGTATTCCACTCGCAGCCTCCTCAGTCGATCCAGAGCATTGTCACACAGACGCACCAACACATCAAAGACTTCCAGGTACATGGTTTAACAAAAGTATTACATAGTCAAATTTATCTACAGACATTTAGTTACTTTAGTAAAATATTCAATGATATGTTGTTATAAAAACCGTATGTTTTGGAAAATGAGCATTTGAACAGAAAAAATATTTTTAATAATAAAATAATTAAAAAGTTTAAAAGTTTTCACATCCAATCTCCATTGATAGAAATTGTTTAGTGCTTTGGACCTTATGACAGATTAACATTTATTATCACTTTAGTCTTAAGTTTTCTAAGTCTTGGGGAAATGCATAATAATGTATATCCTGACATTACCTATGATCTCAATATTTTTTTTAAAGAATTAATTGTTAAATTCAGTCTCTTATTTCTTTGTGCCAAAAATTTTATAAACAAAAATAAATTTATTTTCTCCCATGTATCTAAATGTACAAAATTATACATGCTATAAAATTATTAAAGCTATTGGACCACTTTTATGTTAGTTATGGAAAAAAATTAACAACTGTATTGAAAATATTCAAGAATTCATCATCATCAACAGACTAATAGTCCACTCCTGGACAAAGAGAGGACCTCTTTAGAAAGAAGGTTTCAAGAATGAAATTTATATAAACAATGGTGCAGTATTTTAAACACAAAAGAAATAAATATTGCTTAAATAAATCTCATAAAACAGTTGGTACTCATGTGTGTGGTTTAAGTAGTCTCAACGCCATCAAAACCACATTGAGTTTTGTGGTTTCAAATTGGGCCAATGAAATGTATGAGATACTAATAATTATCCAAAGCCTACTTTAAGTTCATTCACATCACATCAACAGGCTCTGAACGTCTGCAACTCAGGAGTCACAAATGCCTTGTTGCTTGCCGCTTTCTTCCTTAGTTGGTTCTTATGACACCCATGGCATGAACGGTGACACTTTATACTTAATCCGTGTAGTGCCAGGTTAAGAATATTATAATGTTTGAGTATTTCCAAGTGTAGGTCATCAGTAAAGAAAAGAGTTTTTTTTTAAGGATTTAATGTAGTTCCAATATGTGTAGTTTTTTTTTATGTTCAATGTAAGTATTAAACACATACAACTATGATACAGGCGTCGTTGTCTCAGGAGCAGCTGCGCGATGTGGAGGAGAACCACCTGGTTGCTGAAGAGCAATACGACCGTTTGCTGGGGTTGGATGGACATACAGAGCTGTGGCACAACACCACACTGCCGGTGCTCGTGACATATGCCCGGGCTGAATCGCACGCACTCGCCGTAAGCTTCGTGCGTGCGGCCGCGCGGCTTCCTTACACTGTGCTGCTCTATAACCTAGGATTGAAGCCTAATTCTTTGGCTATTGTAAGTAACTTCTATATTCACACACACACACACACACACTTACGTCTTTTATTCCCGCCCAAATTTTGCCTCATAAATTTCCAGTCCCACTCACCGGAGTCAAGACAAGTTCCGTCAACTGGGCAGATATATTTTTACATAAACATACTTAAAAGTTTCTAAATGCATACATATTTTAGATAAATTACATTACATTTTCCGTTTCATGTATGTTTGTAAAGTCCCCGCGGGAGTCTTTTTTTTTTAATAAAAAAATGATCGTGCTCATCACAATAGTCCTGGGTCGTCGAACTCGAACCCACGATATCTTACTTAGCAGTCTGTTTCGCTCACCACTACACAAACTTCTATATTTCATGTAAAAAAAAATTTGAAACACGACATCGTTTACATAGGATCAGAATCTGTTGTCTCGAAATCTTGGGCCACACTGGTTGCTTGCGTCCCGTATAGGTATATGACTTCCTTGCGGTCCAGGAAACACGTATTTGAAACTTAACTATCTTTTATGGCTGATTACAAATATTATTTGTAATGGCCCAGGTAATGGCCTGGCGTCTGAAAGCTTTCGTAAGCGATGACAACGTAGAAAGCTGATGGTCTAGCAACACAGTTTTGGTTTACAAGACCATCATGTAACGGCGAAGTGTGGGACTGTAAGGGAGCGTTTACTCTGCCTTGATATACCGATTCCAAAAATAAAACCGTGCGGGACACCTTTCCGAAGCACATGGTGACCTGACCTAATCTTAAATTAAAGTGCTTAAATTAAACAGCAGTTTGTAATGTCAAAATAATAGATTTTTTTCATGCTTACACGGTTATTTGCACGATACCTTTGCCTAAAAACCAATTTAAATATTTTTTGTCTGTCTGTCTTTCTGTCGTCGGCTGGACCAATTTTGATAATATTTTACTACCAAGTAGCTGTTTATGTAAGGAGTTAATTTTTTGGTCCGGGAATCGAACTCACTAAGGAGCTTTTCAAATTCCACGCGAACGAAGTCGCGGGCACCAGCTAGTCACTATTAAAATTAAAATAATCCTAAGAAATAAAGTTTCTAAATACTACTTCGTCATTTAATGTTGATGTTATTATGTCTCAATACATACATTAAACTATTTATAATTCTAAATATTCTAGTAAATATATAACAGTCAGAATTCTTAACCGTATTTTTAACCGACGCGGCGACGCCATTCGGCAATAGTACCTACCATTGACTGCCGAGGCAGATCCCCTCTATTATTGGTGAATCATTTGGATATGTCTAATCAGTATGATATTTTGGTCGAAACTACTTTTGACTGGTTAAGAATGCCGACTGTAATATTTATAACCTAAATATCGGCATGACATCAGAAGGCCAATTCTCGTAATAAAAGTTCGGTCACAGTTCAGTTCCGATAAACTTTCGATCTCACAACGGTCATAAAAGGTATTTTAGTACCGAGAACTGATCGGAACTGAATTGTGACCGTACTTTTATTACGAGAATTAACCCTCAGTTCTTGACTTTCTTTTTTACGCCGAGAGAACGTTTTAAGCTTGGTCTAACACAGACGCAACTCAGCCGTCGTCATTAAATGTGAAGTGTAAGGAATGTAATGACCCTCTCACACTTTTGTCGTCACCGTCATGGAAGTTCATATTGAAAGATATGAAATACATAAAAACATGCATAATACATTGTTATGTGTTTTGCATTGAATCTTTCCTACACAGCTCAGCTTTATTTCAGTCTGGTCTCGCCTAGAGAGTTACTCGTGAACCTTCTTAACTACAAACTATCCAAATAAAATACACTGTTTGCTGTTAGAATAACCGGCAATCGTCTTGAACATAAATAAACGGATACTTTATTTGTTTATAAACATGCATTAAGTTAAACAAAACTAAAATTATAGTATTATTCGGGTATTAATTATGTAGTATTATTTTATCATTTCGGTCTCTGTACTTGACAACTTGACTTGAAATGTTGATTCTTCACATCACACATCAACAGCCTTTAATAGTCCACTGCTGGACATGGGCCTCTCCTTAGAAAAAAGTTATTGGCCTACTATACCACGCTGGCCAGACGGGTTGGTATAGGGTTTGTGTCAAGTTTCCTTCTCTTTGCAGTGCTGATGTCCTGCGTAGTTTAGCTCCCTTAGTCGGTTCTTACGACACCCACGGGATGAGTAGAGGTGGTGACACTCTGTATTCTTAATCCGTCACCACACGGACAGTTGGTTCGTAATGTGTCAATAAAAAGTTAGATCACTTTTAAACTTGCAAACCTTAAACAACCATATTGCAATCACTCGACTTCAACAAAATTAGCACCCGAAAGCTTAATGTAGTGCGTATGGGATCTGTGAATCTTAAATCTAACGCACACTATATTTAAAAAACTATTCTCAATAACATCCTACACTATGGTATAGACGAGTAAAACAAATTCATCCCCACTTTTCGTGTACTCCCCCACATTGATTTCTTTACCACTTAGTTTGTACCACCATATTACAGCTTTCTAATACTAAGAGTTTCTGAGCTAAATCTCGGACAGTCTGGCACTGCATTGACTAATAAGCAAGAGACAAGGATAACACTACTAAATCTATGTAGCCACCGACGTTAGGGGGTTATGCCACTTGAACTGTCTGAAACTTGAAAGTACACCACCCGTCCGCGTTAACGTGTTGGTTTAAGTACCATCTATGCGTTCATTTAACTCGTATGATTAGGGAATGTTCAGATGATAGTCGTCGAGCGCGCGTCGAGTGCGTATGGGGTTTTGTATAGTGTCTAATGCAGCGAGAACTTCTAGCGCGTTGAAGCGCGTTATCGAACTTCAGTATGAGTTTTGTATTCGTTAAAGATGAATTTAAAAATAAACACATGGTAATTTCTTGCATTATTTCATTTAATAAAATAAACCGAGTCAAATGTGAATTTAAGCGTCACCAAACTTATGCTATGTGATAGTATTATATGGACTTTTATTTAAATATTCTCTAATTAAAATCACGTTTTGTAAACTCATTTCAAAGAATAAAGAACATCACAATTCAAAGAAAGAACATCAGGCGCACGTCGGATAAAAGCTTGCGAACAACTTAAACAAAACGACCGAATGACGTAGTGGTTTGTGTAACGGACTGCTATTCCAAAGGTCGCGGGTTCGATTCCCGCTCAAGTCAAATATTTGTGTGCATGAATATTTAATGTTTCATTTGGTTTGGATGTTTCTATGTAAAATAAGTATGTTTAAAAAAAAGTATATGTATTTATATCAGTTGTTTAGTAGCCAGAGTACAAGCTTTGCTTAGTTTGGTACTAGATAGCGTTGTGTCAATGTGGTAGAATCTATATATATCGATTTACGATTTACGATATATATTTGTTAACGCGCAGTTCACGCCCTTCATCTGAACACGCCCTAAATATGTGTGAGAGCCTTGCTTCTACAATTCCTAATCAGTGTTTGATGTGTGCAGGTGTCCAACTACTGTAACTCATCGAAGTGTGCGATCATCGACTTTGATCTGGACGCGTTCCCGTCGCACGTCACCGACGAGAGCATACACGCCTACCGACCGCTCATCATACAGGTAGGTTTGTACATTACAGTATTACATTATTTTTAAAATGGAAGACAATTCATGCTGTATTTTTAAATGTAATGTATTTAATAATTCTGGAGAAATAATTTATTTTAATTATAGGAATGAAACATGGACATGATATTAATCTCCGATGACGTAGGTAATGGAAGTTAAGATCCCACCTCCATCACTTCCGCCGGAAATTTGGTTTTTATAGAAACTATTAAGAAATTAACAATGTCATATGACATGAGAATATTCCGTAAAACATTTTTCGATCAGTGAATGCGTTAAAACAAAAAAAAAACATAACCCCACAGAAAACCGGTGTCAAGCTATTTTTTTTTTCTAACAAAGAAATCTTTCGCACTAGGAATACATCCTGTGTACCAGGGGACTTTACAAATATACATGAAACGGACACAAAGAACATCCAGACTCAGAACAACAATTTATGGACCACACATAGTTTCGTTTCTAGCTCAGCAGTGAGGTTCAATAACCACTAGACTAAGAACCCTATCAATCATGTTGAGTGCTAAGAAATTTTGGCATTAATGTGACAGCACAGTCGTCACACTAGTTCTCTTCACAATACAACAGAACTGCATAACCAATGCTATCGTTATTTACTTCACCTTGTCATTTTATCCTCACGAAAAAGAAATAATTGCTGTCTCAGCTTTTATTGATTAGGACCTCACGCTCCGACGCATTGTGAATTTTTCGAACTAATCATTTGTTATTTCTCTATATTCTCCATCATCAGCCTATCGCAATCCACTGCTAGACATAGGCCTCTCCCATTGCACGCCACTTAGATCGATTTTGGGCTTCTCGCATCCAGCTCCTGCCAGCCATCTTGCGCAAATCGTCACTCCACCTGGCCTGTGGGCGTTCTACACTACGTTATATTCTCTATAAAACCTATTAACTGTAGTTCGTAAAATGTGTAGGATTCAAAACAGAAGTTCCTAAAGCTTTTTGTGTCGCACACCACTAGCAGTGTACCAACTAGTAGTGTGTGTTGTCTACTTGTTTGGGTAGCCCGGGATCTACCCAAACAAGAAGAACACTACTAGTGGTCCTTGCGATAATATTAACTACTTTCCTTTTCAAATTTTTTCATTCATATTTCTTGGCCGATGAATTAAAACTGTTAAACCAATCTCACCAAGTCCGTCTTTCTGTGCTGTCTTTGCAAAAGTCTGAGACTGATTTGCTTTATCGTGTACCTCCCGCTTACATCTCACGGCCCCCTTTTTTTTTGGCTACGTGGACCAGATATACGTTGTAGTCAACCACCGGGGGTTGATATAGCGGTCTTTGGGTATTTTTTATACATGTGAATTCGGACGATTAAACATACGTAACATAGGTGTAATGTGCTGCCCTCGTAAAAAGAGTGGAACCTGGCTAAATCAATAGTCGTCCGTCAGCAAGTTTAATTATTTAAGGGGTAAAATAGTTTTGTGTTCAATCGATACTGTAAGGTTTTACCTCAAGAGAGCCATAAAAGTTTAGGCCGATTTATGATTCGTCGATATTTTATATTTTCGTTAACCACAAACCACCACCGTGTGGTGACGGATTAAGAATACAGAGTTTCACCACCCCTATTCATCCCGTGGGTGTCGTAAGAAGCGACTAAGGGAGCAGACTACGCAGAACAACAAGCACTGCAGAGAGAAGGAAAACTTGACACAAACCCTTGGCATAGTAGGCCAAAACCTCCTTTCTAAGGAGAGCCCTATGTCCAGCAGTGGACTATTAAAGGCTGCTGATGATGATGAACCACAAATCATAATCATTCATGGATTAAAAAAGAAATATCCTTGCCTAAAGAAGTACCGCCCAGTTATTCCATAACATTAAAAGAAACATTAGACATCTTATAAATAACTGGATGTCTTTTCTTATGGTACTTGGGCGCAAACGAATTCACGGCTCACCTGATCTTAAGTAACTACCAACGCCCATAAACATCTACAATTCCGCGTCACAAGTATGCTGTTGCCCTTTGAGCCTCCCCCTACAATTAGAGGGAGTTGATGAGTTGAGGCTCCAGTAACCTCACCCACTCGTTGAAAAGCACCGAAACAATTGCTTATCATCAGTTTTCTGCTAGACTGGCGTCACTCCTGTTGTACCGGCCTATTTGTGCTAAAGCAGTCTTTTTTTTTAAAGTCAACCCGCATGAGGAACACATCCTGTGTCGGGGGGGACTTTACAAACATATATGAAACGGACACAAAGAACACCCAGACTCAGACCGACAATTAGTGGATCATACAAAGTGTGGTCCTATGTGGGATCGGACCCACAATACTCGGCGTAGTAGTATGCGGCGTAGCGACAGCTTAAACGCCATCGTGCAGTCACGATCTGATTTCAAAGTCTTGTCGTAAAATGTCTTTTACTACATGATAAATAAAATATGGCAACAACTAGGCTTTTATGTGCATATGTGTAACATACATAAATATTTGTGTAACGACTGAAATAGTCAGTTTACTGACTTTAAATGACGTGTTTCTTATCAGCTCAAATAAATACCTAACTATTTGCCACATGCATACTCGTGTAAGTGCTTCCAGGCAAGATAACGGGCACCCTTTACGGGTTCAAATAAAAATGTAAAATTTAACATGTTACTTACGAGTAGATCACATCATCACATCAACAGCCTGGAATAGTCCACTGCTGGACATAGGCCTCTCCTCAGAAAGGAGGTTTTAGCCTACTATACCACGCTGGCCAGACGGGTTGGTATAGGGTTTGTGTCAAGTTTTCCTTCTTTTTGCAGTGCTGGTGTCCTGCGTTGTTTTGCACCCTTAGTCGGCTCTTACGACACCCACGGGATGAATTGGGGTAGTGACATGCCGTATTCTTAAGCGGTCACTACACGGACATGTACGAGTAGATACGAGTACTCAAATTAATCTACCAGATGAGATTACCTTTTTTTTTTTTTCGTGTGGAAATCCCCTCGGATACCACCTATCGGTAGCATGTCGGACTCGAACCGACTAAAACCGCACGCCGTCTCGGGTACTAATAGCCGGGGAACCAGGTATACCCTAGAAAGGAAGTCCCTGGTGCCCGACATACCTCGGGCCATCTACAGACGAGTAGACGACCCCCCCGTGTGGGAACCCCATGTTCCCTCTGCTCCCTGGCTTCGCAACACGCTCGCCGCCACCCCGGCCTGCTTCTGCTAGGCTGACAGATGGCCTCACCTGTCACCCCCAGGCCTGCGCTTATGGAGGACGGAGGTGGTTCTGCGACCTCCGGCGCCTGAGCCGCCTGCGGTACCTGGCCCGTTCCCGGGCCTGGCGGGCCGGGAGAGATGAGATCTACCTGAAACTACGTCTGCGTTTTTGCACCATTTTTCATTGATGCTTGGCTCCTATTGCTCGTAGCGTGATCTTACATAGCCTTCCTGGATAAATGGAATATTCAACACTAAAAGTTTTTTCAATTCGAACCAGTAGATCTTGAGATTAGCGCGTCCAACCAAACAGTTTAAAAATATTAGTATAGACTAGCTGAGACCCGCGGTGTTACCCGCGTTTGTTGTTATAACCGCGGGCAACGCCGCGGGGCGCAGCTAGTCTAAAAAAAAAGTAGCCTAAGTTACTCCTTATGTCATCAGCTATCTGCCAGTGAAAGTCCCGTCGAAATCGGTCCAGCCGTTCCAGAGATTACCCGGAACAAACAGACAGACAGACAGACAAAAATTGTAAAAAATGTTATTTTGGCATATGTACCGTGTAAACATACATATGCATTTATTAAAAAGCGGTTATTTTAATATTACAAACAGACACTCCAATTTTGTTTATTTGTATAGATAAGGTATTGGCGTTCGCTTCTTTATGTTAGACCCTAGATAGAGTAGACCAAGAATAGATTCGATGTTTTAAATATATGATGTGTCTTAAGACACAGTATGAAAAGCATTCAATGTTAGTACAAATTACATGTAGCCAAACGTAATCTGTTTCCTGTATCTGGCCTTGCATTTTTTACTTCGTCAACCACTACACAAAAAAGTGATGTATTATTAATTGTAGTACATATACAAGCCTGTTTTTTTAAAACTGTTTGATTTAAGTTTATATGTTGGTACAAAAAGCCTTCCTCATGCTAGACTAGTGTTTCGGTACAGTTTACGCACACCCTGGCCGCTAGGGTGTCCATAAAGTGTTGCGTAAATAAAACGTAATGGAATAAACTAGAATAATCACTTCAAGCATTGATCCATTCTTGATGGTAACAAAATTTGTTTTTTTTTTATACTGGACGTATGACATCGTAGTATTATAATCGCCAGATGGTCTCCCGTCATTCTAATAGGGTTTGTATTTTAGTTTGAGATGTTGCTTTACTTAAAAGGCATATGATCAGATTACGTATGTAGCCGATATTTTTTGGCATTATATCTAGCGTGAGAAGTTAGAACCTGATAGAAATTACATCGAGTGGCAATAGAACCTAGCTTAATAATAGCTTTGTAAGTAAGGTATTTGTCACTATTTGTATATTATGAACCGTCTGCGAGCATAGCTTGATATGGCTCTAAATATAATAATAATAATAACATTCGGACATCTGACACACAACGCCATTTGGTTTCAAACTAAGCAGAGCTTGTACTATGAAAACTATATTGACTGATAGAATACTTATACACTTCACTCGAGTCTGCCTATTTCGGCCGAAGCATGGCGCCCCCACGGTCAATGTCTAATAAATAATATATTATCTTATAAATTTTTAGTGTATCGCCTTACTACCAGTAGTTCGGCTGATTGATTAATTACAATGCCGCATGCGGCATTTATTAAAAAAGAATCTGTAAAATTTTCTGTTAACTCGTAACGGACCCATGCACCAAACTATAATATTTATAAACTAGGTTTTGCCCGCGAATATAACTTTAAAAAAGGCGAATTCTGTACAACCGTTTATCCTTTATTTTAATGGTGAAATTTCCAAAAATCCTTTCTTAGTGGGTGCTTACAACAAAAAAAGCATCGTCTGCCAAAATTTCAATTTCATAGCCCCAGCCGTTAGGGCACTGCTTTCATGAATCAGTCAGTCACTGCAAGTAAATTTTTATCTGTAGATGATAGTTTTGTTTCAATAGACTTATTTATACATGTCATGTTGTAAGGGACGTCGTAACGAATACTGAAATTGTGTATTCAGACCATCATTCTAAGTAGAAAATCATTGGTATTTTATGCCGGAAAATTAAACTTTTTATTCAATCAGCCTTCAAAGGCTAAGGTCCTTCCCCGTTGGTATCGCACAAAAGTAATAACTACATGTGCATTCCATGCAAACAGTCTACGCACACTCGACACAAGTTGACGGCCGAAGGGAGACCCAGCGCGCTTCAGCTGTTCGATTAATAACATCGCAGTTTTTGACCGTATGTATATTGTTTTCAGTAAAATGTTCTGTTTACTCATTGTCATATCATTTTTCATAATTTAAAAAAAATATGGAAGATTATAAAAAAATATGATGAATTTTCCGGCAGAAAATTCCAATGATTTTCGTCTCAGAATCATGGTCTGTTTTAGTATTCGTTACGATGTCCCTTACCCTTTGTATATACCCCAACGTTCTCATCACAATCATCACGTATTATTCTCCCCAGGAAAAACGAATAATGTACGAACACAATGAAACAATTCTCTCTCACCTCTGGATACCGCGCAGTTAACAGTTTATTCATTTTGCTCCACATAATTATTTCGAGAATTTCACTACAAGTGATTTTCGTAACAATATTTTTCAGTGAAAGTGTTTCTACAAAGTTGGTGTTCAGGGTTTTTTAAAAAACGACTGTCTAAAATAGTGCATTAACCAGATAATGATCAATAAGTTTACTATCTATTAAAACAAAATACCGTCAATAAGTGACCATCGTCGTGTCTTATAATTACGCGTAAGCGACACGCTCTGCACGGCGGTTACGACGTTCTTACCGCGATCTCGCCGGTTCCTTCCTTCGAACTGTCCGAACTGTTTACCTACTGTATGCATATCGAAGTATACAAAATATTCG